TGTTGCTTTTGTGTTTGCCTGCTTGCTGTGCGTTGATTTCCTTTGATTCGTTCATTGATCATTGCTAGTCTGGTTTCTAGTTGCCTGATTGTTTTTGTACTTGTGTTTGCTTGCTTGCTTCGCTTTTGGTTGCTTTGTTTTGAGTCATTGATTGATTGTTTGCTAATTTGGGTGTTTAGTTGTTTGCTTGTTGTTGGATTGCTTGCTGTCTTGCTTTGCTTTGCTTTGCTGTGTTGTGCTAGCTTGCTTGATTGCTTGCCTATCTTTTCTTGCTGCTTCTTTGTTTTGTTTTGTTTTGTTTGTGTGATTTGGTGTATCTTTGCACGTCTTTGTGTGTGTGGTGGGCTGCGGCCGGGTTTCTGTTGGGGTTTGCCAGGAGGCAAAGAAGCATGCGCCCTTGTTCATCACTTCCCCGCAATCATACATGCGGTCCCGCGCTCGCCCATTTTCTTTTAGGATAAACACATGTAGTAGTAGGAAACATACGTATGTAGTGTTGGGAAAGCACATAGGTTGTAATTCAGGGTCCCAAGACAATGATCAACCTGCAATCTTCTATTTAGGGAATTTGGAGCAGCGGTTCAGGGCATGTTTTCCATTTCTGCGGTTCAGAATCATACGGCACAATTTGCAATTGCGCTTCTCGCGATTGACACTTAAACTATGATTTTAGAATGATGCTTAAGCTATTTGTGTAGCGCCCCCTTTCAATGGAATCCACAACCAAAACGGATGTCGGGAAATGTACTATTTGTGACTAGGATGCATGTCTCAATAATTACTGTACGGGGGGATGTTTACTCTGCTGTTCAACCATGGCAGGGTAAGTACTGCGGGAGGTTGATGCGCAACCAAACAAGATCCACAGAGAAACCAGCAATCAACCGCACTGTTGTGGCCAATCACGAGGGCTAATTTGTAAACCACAGCCTTGCTTGGAAGCAGGGCGAGTCCAGTCCCAGGAAGAACGATGACTTTGCCAGCACGATCACCGACTATGAGGCCCTCATCAAGATGTTGGAAAAGCTCCGCAACCAGGTCAGGATGAGGGTCCCGGTTGGGCTTAGGGAGGGCTTCCGCTGGGATGCTCATCAGGAAGCCTGGGGCAGATGGTCTACGGGGCAGATGGTCAGTGGACCAATGATTGTGATCATGCGTGGGCCGAAGTTGGTTCTCCCCTTTTTCATAGGTTCCATCTACCCGTTGTTCCAGTGGGTTTTACATTGAGTTCAGCCTGGAACTTTTTCGCCACAAGCCTCCGTGTGAGCCTCGCCTCGCAGCCTTGGATAAGTCAGAAACCTGGTCAAAGTGAGCCAGCAAGGCGCGACGAATGCAGGAAACAACGGCGAATCTCAGGGAAGCCAAATGCATGCAGCCCAAAGCCGAAACCCAGCTCACCAAACTCCCACGGCTGTAAATGGGTGTGGAACTCCCAGGTTAGTTGGGCACAGAAGCCCGAGACGATTCATGAACAATCACATACATAAAGCGTATATCATGGCTAGAAACGTAAATGTATCATATGTATATCAAACATACATATATACATATACACACTACAACAGGAGCAGCTGGATTGAGGAAGACCGTGTGTGGATCATCTGGAACAGGACATGCTGGGCAGAAGAGCAAAGCTTTCATCACAAGACAGAATGGTGCCTATACTAGGCCTTTGGCCAGTTTACAAGGCCAAACGTTTTCCTCATGGCACCAGACGGACTGTGGATGACCAAAGGGAGGGCTCGCTGGACATTGCCCATCGAGCCCTGGGATGCGGTTCCACACATGATGAGTTCGCAACAGACTGCAAGAGTCTGTAGCCAAAGTCCTGTGCGGGCTCTTTCAAGATGAGAGAAGCTTGGCACGTCAACAAGTTTTGTCTTTTGCATGGCTTGCTTCAGGTTGAGTTTGCTTCCAAAGGGCGCTGGACAGTTGCTTGATCAACGGGAAGCTCGCTGTACGTTTCCAGCATTACCTAGCCAGCAGAATGCACGTCTGCCCTTGCAGTTCAAAGGACATGTCAGAATTGGTATTTACATGTTTTGTGCCAACGTGCAAGGCCTTTGGCCAGTTTGCGAGGCCAAAGGTCTTCCAGTTGGCACTACAGCAGTTTCTGACCCACGGGTAGCTGAGCCTTGCATTTGTGCCAGGTCTTAGCAAGCTGGGAAGTGACAATCTACACAGCATGCAACAGGAGCAGCTGGAATGAGGAAGACCTTGTGTGGATCATCTGGAACAGATCATGCTGGGCAGCAGAGCAAAGCTTTCATCACAAGACAGAATGGTGCCTATACTAGGCCTTTGGCCAGTTTACAAGGCCAAACGTTTTCCTCATGGCACCAGACGGACTGTGGATGACCAAAGGGAGGGCTCGCTGGACATTGCCCATCGAGCCCTGGGATGTGGTTCCACACATGATGAGTTCGCAAAAGACTGCAAGAGTCTGTAGCCAAAGTCCTGTGCGGGCTCTTGCAAGATGAGAGAAGCTTGGCACGTCAACAAGTTGTGTGTTTTGCATGGCTTGCTTCAGGTTGAGTTTGCTTCCAAATGGCGCTGGACAGTTGCTTGATCAACGGGAAGCTCGCTGTACGTACCCAGCATTACCTAGCCAGCAGAATGCACCCACAGGCGCAAGCGAGGAAGCAAAGGTTTGTTACGGAAGATTCTGCCAACGTCTGCCCTTGCAGTTCAAAAGACATATCAGAATGGGTATTTACATGTTTTGTGCCAACGTGCAAGGCCTTTGGCCAGTTTGCCAGGCCAAAGGTCTTCCAGTTGGCACTACAGCAGTTTCTGACCCACGGGTAGCTGAGCCTTGCATTTGTGCCAGGTCTTAGCAAGCTGGGAAGAGACAATCTACACAGCATGCAACAGGAGCAGCTGGAATGAGGAAGACCTTGTGTGGATCATCTGGAACAGGTCATGCTGGGCAGCAGAGCAAAGCTTTCATCACAAGACAGAATGGTGCCTATACTAGGCCTTTGGCCAGTTTGCAAGGCCGAACGTTTTCCTCATGGCACCAGACGGACTGTGGATGACCAAAGGGAGGGCTCGCTGGACATTGCCCATCGAGCCCTGGGATGCGGTTCCACACATGATGATTTCGCAAAAGGCTGCAAGAGTCTGTAGCCAAAGTTCTGTGCGGGCTCTTGCAAGATGAGAGAAGCTTGGCACGTCAACAAGTTGTGTGTTTTGCATGGCTTGCTTCAGGTTGAGTTTGCTTCCAAAGGGCGCTGGACAGTTGCTTGATCAACGGGAAGCTCGCTGTACGTTTCCAGCATTACCTAGCCAGCAGAATGCACGTCTGCCCTTGCAGTTCAAAGGACATGTCAGAATTGGTATTTACATGTTTTGTGCCAACGCAAGGCCTTTGGCCAGTTTGCGAGGCCAAAGGTCTTCCAGTTGGCACTACAGCAGTTTCTGACCCACGAGTAGCTGAGCCTTGCATTTGTGCCAGGTCTTAGCAAGCTGGGAAGAGACAATCTACACAGCATGCAACAGGAGCAGCTGGAATGAGGAAGACCGTATGTGGATCATTTGGAACAGGACATGCTGGGCAGCAGAGCAAAGCTTTCATCACAAGACAGAATGGTGCCTATACTAGGCCTTTGGCCAGTTTACAAGGCCAAACGTTTTCCTCATGGCACCAGACGGACTGTGGATGACCAAAGGGAGGGCTCGCTGGACATTGCCCATCGAGCCCTGGGATGCGGTTCCACACATGATGAGTTCGCAAAAGACTGCAAGAGTCTGTAGCCAAAGTCCTGTGCGGGCTCTTGCAAGATGAGAGAAGCTTGGCACGTCAACAAGTTGTGTGTTTTGCATGGCTTGCTTCAGGTTGAGTTTGCTTCCAAAGGGCGCTGGGCAGTTGCTTGATCAACGGGAAGCTCGCTGTACATACCCAGCATTACCTAGCCAGCAGAATGCACCCACAGGCGCAAGCGAGGAAGCAACGGTTTGTTACGGAAGATTCTGCCAACGTCTGCCCTTGCAGTTCAAAGGACATGTCAGAATTGGTATTTACATGTTTTGTGCCAACGTGCAAGGCCTTTGGCCAGTTTGCGAGGCCAAAGGTCTTCCAGTTGGCACTACAGCAGTTTCTGACCCACGGGTAGCTGAGCCTTGCATTTGTGCAAGGTCTTAGCAAGCTGGGAAGAGACAATCTACACAGCATGCAACAGGAGCAGCTGGAATGAGGAAGACCGTATGTGGATCATTTGGAACAGGACATGCTGGGCAGCAGAGCAAAGCTTTCATCACAAGACAGAATGGTGCCTATACTAGGCCTTTGGCCAGTTTACAAGGCCAAACGTTTTCCTCATGGCACCAGACGGACTGTGGATGACCAAAGGGAGGGCTCGCTGGACATTGCCCATCGAGCCCTGGGATGCGGTTCCACACATGATGAGTTCGCAAAAGACTGCAAGAGTCTGTAGCCAAAGTCCTGTGCGGGCTCTTGCAAGATGATAGAAGCTTGGCACGTCAACAAGTTGTGTGTTTTGCATGGCTTGCTTCAGGTTGAGTTTGCTTCCAAAGGGTGCTGGACAGTTGCTTGATCAACGGGAAGCTCGCTGTACGTACCCAGCATTACCCAGCCACAAATCTGCACATTCGGATGATCTATGCATGCTAAAAGCGGACATTTGAAGATGTCTAGCACTGTCTAGCATTTTACAATTTCGCCAAATTTCAATCGTGCTATATGTGCAGACCATGGGCACTTGTCTAAAATGAACAACAACATTGCTAGTATTGATGTACTTTATTGAGTCATTGCGCGCTTTGCGTCCAGACGTCGTATGTTGAATCATTTGGTTTTGTCCTGCAATTGCACAACGCGTTTCAGAGCAATTTCGGATGAACCATTGACTTGTCGAGTCATTGCGCGCAACTTCAGCGACGCCCGTATGATCATGATGAGCCATGATATTCCGCATGGCTTGGTTTTCCACTAGTCAAAGTTGGGCATGTTATTTCGATCAGGCACACCCGGCTCTCTTAAGCGCCCTATCCAAAGCAGGTTGCTTGGACCGTGTATGTTTACACCGGTTTGGTCAAGGGATTGGCTTTGTGCGCCAGGTCGAGGCGGAGGGAGGGCCTCCCAAGCAGTTCATCAAAGCCATCGGTGCGCTCGAGGACTACATCGAGCATCTTGGCTAGGGCGACCGTCTCGCAACACAACAAGTTGGGCATCTTGTTTTTGCCCGGGTCAAACAAAAGCAACAGGTATAATCATGAAAAGAAGCTGAAACAGGGCCCAAGAACAAGGACGGTACAGACTCGGTTGGACTCTTCAATCTGCAAGCTTTCCAATGATCCGGAGGCTGCAAACCAAAGGTTTTAGTCATTCAGCTTATGTTGTTGTTCGGAGTGCTTGCAACTTTGGGACCTGGGCTGGCCGCTGGCTGTTTGAACGTGACAAGCCACCGTTGTGGCATTCTGGGCCTTGTGACCTCATCCATGATGGGTGCTTTCAGCTTGGTGATTTATTGTAACCCGTCCCCCAAACAAAACAACACAGAAACAACAAACAAACAAAAAACAGAAAACACATAGCAGACGGAAACTGATACAGTCAACGAAAGTGGTTCGCTCAACCTGATTGGGACACCGAACAGCATGAAAGCGACGGAAGGTTCGCTACCGAAAAGAACCCTTAAAGTCAGCTTGAGTTCAAGCTGACTATGGGCATCATTTGACGACATGATTGCGAGTATGCCACAAGTAATGGATGACTTCTTTGCTTTTTCCGGACTCCCTGCTGCCACCTGCATTTCATTTGTCTCTGCAGCGCCGAGGAAGACCCACGGGGAGATTCAGGAGAGGAAGCAGAAGGGCGTGAAGCTCCCGGAGAACAAGGCCAAGGCCTTCAACACCCTCCGCTCCAAGGCACCGCACTCACGAGCCGAACTCGCGGCGAAATGGGGCGCGCGAGTTTGAGAGGGTCAAGGCCCTGAACCGGAATCATGGTATTATCAAAGTCACCAAAGTGGCTTGTTTGAAAGGACAATATTGTGTTACCAGTATCAAAGTCACCCTTTGTTTAGGAGTGGTTGACTGCAGAGAAACCGCCTCAGTTTCTGAGTGCGAGCTTGCCGGCCAGTGAGTGCGAGCTCGCTGGCCAGATATGTTGTTTAGTTTTCTTGTTTCTGTTAGATCATGCTCTTTGTTTCTGGTTTGTCAGGGGGACAGTTTGAAGCGACGACTGCAGAATGTGCTGCTACGGGTTCCTGCTGACAGCTGATGGCCTTTCCAAGAGGCCGGTCAGAGTTTCGATTCAATGCTTTCCCTAGCGAGCTCTACTTCATGTGTGTGTGGACTGGACAACTTTACACGTCAGCAACAGCTGTTTCATACACCTGTTGGGCACCAATGCGACTTCATGAGATGACCCAGCATGTCCTGCAGGGGATCAACACCTTTTAAACAAGAATCTCAACAAGCTGATGTTCCAGAGATTCGCGTTTCGAGTCACGCGAATATGCAAGCAATGAGTTCATTGGCGTTGCAAGTGAAATTATGTCGTTCGCTTTATGGTTTTCGTGAAAACAGGGACACTGCAGGCTATCCTCTTTTGGGTCAGTCAAGAGAGGGGATGCATCACATTGCAGTGCAAAGTGGTCACCTCTTTGCGGGTTGAGAGGTCAAGACGCTGACACTCCCCAGCCTGTTTAACAAACCTATTGGGTCTGAGGTGCCTATCCACTCCAATCTAATTATCAGGTGCCTCCCCTTTTCTCTTAGTGTGGCTTCCCTTCGGAATCAACCAGCATCTGTCCGTTGCTTGTACGATCGAGAGACGCTTTCCTTCGGGAAGCCACCCCAGTTCGGTGGCGCCCTGCATCCCTGGCCAACCCAATGAGCTCCCTAGAGTCACTGGATCCCACACCGAGATGTTTTTTCCCGCTGTGCCCAGTCAGCCAGACATGTTCGAGTCGTTTGTCCAGGTGAAGAAGGGCAACAAGACCTACGGCGACGATCTGCAGCAGTTCCGGAACAACCCCGACGACTTCCAGTCTGAGGAGGAGCAGAATGCCGACGACTCCGACTCCGCCAGCGAGGCGGGAGGGCAAATGAGCCACGCCTGCGCCAACGTTTGGTGCCACCTTTGGAAGCGATATGTTTGTTTGTTTAGAGGGGCTGAACATAGACTTGTGGTTGGTATGCTTGTTTGAGGGCCACAATGCCCTTAACAGCTTTTGAGTTTGAACGATCCAGTTTATTGATGGAGTAGACTGGACCAGATTTGATTTGACTGGGATGTGTTTGTGTCCCTTTGCCCGGTGCTCCTGGTTAAAGGAGAACCTGTTTTGGGGAAAGCCACCAAGCAAGAATGGGATTTCCGTGTCCGGAGAGGGAATGCCAAATGAACAGCGCCCAAAACTCGTATTGGTCATCTGAGTAGGAGGTTCTTCTATCTGACTAAATTGTTGTCAGAACAAAGCCTATATAGACCTGAACAACTATCCCAGTCCTGTCAATTGCCATTTCTTACCATGCTGTTGGTTCGCTGGAAGCATTGGGTATGTTATAAAATTATAACCAAAAGTCCACCTTCACAAAAACTTCCGTGAAGCTTAGAACCTTTCACCTTCTACAAACCTCAAGCCTTCATGCCCGGCTCTGACCGTGGGTTGCTTCCCAGGAGGGTGCGGCGGCCGCCAGCTCCAGCTCCTCGGACTCGGACTCGGATTCCGACTCCTCCTCCAGCTCCAGCTCCGCGTCTCGGCCAGAGACCGGCTGGCCGGAGCCATGGGGCTCAGGGGTGAAGTCGCCGGGACGAAGGGTAGCTGAAAAGGGCGGCGGAAAAGGGCTTGTGTGAGTATGTTGCTTTACTGTGGGCGTGCCTGGGATACTCCCAGCTATGGAGCCTAAAAAGCCATCGGTTCTGGAGGAGTTCCCTTTTCAAGGAGGCCCTCTAAGAGAGTGCGTGGGGATGAAATGGACAAACAACCATTGTAGTATGGCTCAGTTGCCCAAAGTCCTTTGAAGAGTTGTCGGTTTTTCATGCTCGGTCCATTTTGAGTCAAAGTTGCGACCATTTGTAGGAAGTCCCCTATTTGGCTTGCGGCTGCTTCTGCTTTGCTATTGTTTGTCGTTTCGTGTGGCCTGTTTGTGGGTGTGTTGGTGTGTTTCTGTGTTTGTTTGCTAGTTTCTGTTTCTCTGTGCTTCTGTGTTTATTTGGTGCGTGTATGATTGTTTGTTTGCGTCTTTGTTTGTTTGTTTGCTTGTGTGTTTGTTTGTTTGTTTGTGTGTGTGTTTGTTTCTGTGTTTGCTTGCTAGTTTCTGTTTCTCTGTTATTCTGTGTTTCTTTGGTGCGTGTATGATTGTTGATGTGCGTCTTTGTTTGTTTGTTTGCTTGCTTGCTTGCTTGTTTGTTTGTTTGTTTGTTTGTTTGTTTGTGTTTGTTTGTTTGTTTGTTTGTTTTTGTGTGTTGGTTTTTGTGTGTTTCTTCGTTGCTTTCTATTTTTAATAGTTAGTCTGATTGTTAGTTTGTTTGTTTGTTTGGTCGTTTGTTTGTTTCTTTGTTTCATATGTTCTTTGTTTGTGTTCGATTGTTTGTTTGTTTTGTCTGGTCTGGTCTGGTATTTTTTGGGGGATGTTTGGTTTGGTTGGTTGGTTGGCATGTCTTATATGCAGATTTGGCGTGTTGCTCGCCTACTATGCATTCCATTCAGTCTATCGTTGGCTTTGTTTGCATGTAGGTGGCTGCAATTGGTTTCCCAATTGTTCTTGGAACACCTCTATCGATCAAGTCAACTTGAGCTTTCCGGAGTCTGTCACGCAATCAGAACGATAGGGTGATGGAATTCGGTCTCGATCGAGGCGCCCTCAACAGTCACGTACCCCAAGTCACCTTGCATTTGCAGAGCCTTTTTCCACAGGGAGGGACTCTGGCAAGCGCTCTTTAGATGAGTTTGTGTTTTCTTGAGGAAGCCCATTTTTAGGTTGCTTGAAAAGGAAGCCATAAGGAATTGTTTGGGGGGTCCCCTTCTTGACGCACACCAACATGGGTAAACCCCTTCTGCGCGCGCTTTGAGCAGCGCACCTGAGGACAGCGATTCGGACTCCGACACGGGCAGCGACAGCAGCGCAAGCAGCGACTCCAACTCCTTTGACAGCAGCGACGCTGGGTTTTACACAGGCCCTATATATTTGAAGATTTGAGTGCGTGTGTGTTTCCCCGAATGAGTAAACAAGGGTCTCATGGTAAAAAGCGTCCGGAAGGTTGCGTGTAATGTTTGCTTTCAGGCACAATGTTTTGTACGGTCGCGTGTTCACATTGCCGTGCCGTTGTGGTTTGCGTTTCGGGGATGGTTGTTTCGAGGTGTTTTGCTTGGCAGACGTGGCAAGAGGGTAAGCACAGAGAGAGTAGCTGAGAAGACGCGCGACGCGTAGAAAGCGAGCAAAGAAAGCGTCAGAGAGGAGTGCAAAGCGAGCAAGCGAAGCAATCAGAAGAGTAGACGGGCAACGCAAAACAACCCAAGAAGATGCGCAAGGAACGCAAGCAAAGACGAGTCGCAAAGATAGCAAGTAAAACAAGCAAGCAAAGAAGACTTGCAAGGAGGGCAAGCAAAGAAAGCAGCCGGGAAGACGCGCAAAGAAAGCAAGCAAAGAAAACGCGCAAGGAGAAAGACGCGCAAGCATAGCAAGCAAGGAAGAAGACGTGCCCGAAAAGCAAGCAAAGAACACTTGCAATAACAGCAAGCAAAGGAAGCATCAGAGAAGAAGTGGAAGAAAGCAAAAAAGCAAGAAAGGAAGCTTGCAGGGAAGGGGCACAAGGACAGCGTGCAAGCAGAGCGCACAAAGGAAGCAAGTTTGAAGCAAGCAAAGAAAACTGACAAAGAAAGCAGGAGGCAAGAGGGGCAAGAAGTCGCGCAAGGAAGACTGGTGAAGAAAGCAAGCAAAGGGAACAGCACAAATTGCGTGGAATGAGAGCAACGAAAGACAACACAAGGAAAGACTGCTGAGGTTACCGAACTTTGAGAGCTAGTTATTTGCATCACGATTGTGTTTCGTCTTGGTTCTCACTGAATCTTGAAGCGTTGAGACACAATGCGACAAGCAGTTTGGAGTTCGTGCCCTTTATCAGGTTTCGGGACGCCGTTTTAAAGGTTAGTTGGTTTAAGGGGAAAGCAAAAAGACAACCACCATCTTAGGGGTCTTCCCATTTTGACATACCCATTTCGCCTGACAGAAACAGTAAGCGGGTGTCAGTTTAATTTGTTCAGCCCTGATGGCCTCAACACCCAGGAAAAGAGCGGAGACAGCGACGCGGAGGGCGATGAGGATTTGGTGCGCGAGAGGCCGGTGGTGCCCGTGTGAATGAATTGTGTGTGTGTGTGTCCCAAACCCTCTCCAACATCTACGAAGGTATTCCGTTTTTGAGACCTGGGTTGCTCGGGGTTTTGGATTGTACAAGCTGCTGGGCTGTACGCTTTCCTGACCACACACCTGCAAAGGCCTCTGTTTGTTAGCGTCTATTGCGGATTGCAGCTACAGACATCCAACAGCAATGCCAGCATTTACTGATTTTCTCATCGTTTGAAGGCATGAGCCGGACAACAATGTGTGTGTGTGTGATCCGTTAAGATTGGAACAAGGCAGCTTGTCAAGCTGGAAAACAAACATACAAATCCAAACGGGATACCGGACATGTGTCTGTATCAGTATGCCACATTCTGAGACATCCATCAATGCAAGTATGTGGGCTGGAAGTCCTTACTCGCTCCGCGGCGTCATATTCTGACGGTTGCACCTTAGAGGATCTGACAATCGGAGCCCATCTCTATGTGGGTGCTCTCTTATTGCCTGCTGTGGTTTATCTCGGTGTTTTGCCTAAAGAGAATCACGTGTTCAGAAATCCACTTTGTTTCTGCTCTAGAAGCCTCTTCTGCCTTTGGAAATATGTCAAGAGATTGCCGAAGCTTCGACATTCCTTTTCCCCTTGCACTCCGTGGCGCCGCCTACGGCGATGCCGCAGAGCTCTTGAAAGCCCACCGGGCAAGCATTTGGCCGATGTCTCCATTCATCGTGATAGCCATTGAGCCCATTTATTGTTTGACCCTTTGCTGGGACGAGGGTGTTTTCGAAGCGGATTGTAAATTCATAGACGTGATGCAAACCGATCCCGTCCAGGGTTGGCAGGTTTCCCGGTGTTTCGCTTTTGCTTGTTTCAATCACCCTTTTGGCTCACTTGCGGTGAGCTTCTCTTGGCAGGCGCGGTTTCTAAACAACACATGGAGGGACGCCCTGATGCCTTGCCACGGTGTTCCTGCGAATTCCTCCCGAAGGAAGATGCTCCGGTGGCTCATTACCCCCGAGAAGCTGGCCGAGCGCGAGAAGAAGGCAAGGAATTCAGGGATTTATGGGGACATCGGCATGTTTCCGCTGTGTTTTGTGTTAGGCAAATGCATTTTGTTCGACAGTTCTATGACCGTGGTGCAGGCCAAGCTGGGCGAAAAAGCGTTGGGACAAGGACCGGTACTTGTTCCAAGCATTATTACACCCCTTCTTGGTATTGCAAGGGGCCAGCCACTAAAGTGTATTAGGACTTGTTTGCGTTTCAGGTATGAGGAAGTTCTTCTGCTTGCATGTTTGTTCTCAGACCTCCAAGGTGAGTTTCTACCTGTAAGGCTGAAGCCCCGCAATCGCAAGTAAGGAACACGAAGTTCTCAAGGTGCGGGCAGGTTTACTTGTTTTTTCTCGGTGAAGTGGACGGCAGCTGCAAGATTGACTGTGAAGGGGAATCAGTGCCTGGCTCAAAGCAAACGGACCAGCTCAACTGCTTCAGACCTCTGGATTTCGGTGGCGATGCTTCGTCATGTAATTACGCCCTAGTTTTGGAACAAGCCTTGGCAGTGGTATCCTCGGGATATGTATAGAAAGCTTTGTTTGGCCATCATCTCTTGGAGAGCTCCCCGTGGAGCTGCATGTTTGGCCTGTCAGGAAATGCAGGTCTGTTTAGTTGCAGAGATTTAGCTGAGTGGTAGTTTCAGGGGAATATAATTCTTCGCATGAGATAACTCCTCTGTGCTGGCAGAAACAATTTGTAAGATATGTGTATGCAACAACACAAACTGTGCAGGTGGTGCGTATCTCAAGATTGGGGCCCCGCTGCCCGCAGTCTCTGGACTTATATACTACTTGCTATGTTGATTATTTTGATGCCTGGATGTTGGCGCTCCCCCTTGATTTTTGCGGTTTTTTTACTCAAGGGTCTGGATCCCCATCCCCGAGCCTTAGAGGCACCTCATTTTGGGCACGTGATTTTTCCAGGGTCCCCGTACTGTATCTTCTCATTTTTCGGAGACGGCACGCTTGTCTGGGAAAGCCCCAGAGGACGCGTATCCAGAGTTCTGATTTACACTTGCCTTCGGAGGTTTGGGGCCAAGAGACTGTGGCGAATCCAATCAGGTCAGAAGTTGAATGGGACACCAAGAGTTCAAACTTGAACTCATTCAGCACAGTTGGCTATGAAGTTTACTGGGAACGCTGGAACTCCCGACCACCCCGAGCCCACCCCAAAACCACCCCAACCCCCCCCCCCAATCCAACCCTAAACCGACTCAAGAATGGTTGGTGCGCTCAAATCGTCCACAGCGTACAATCACTTAAAGTTCATCGCTCGGCCAGGCAGAAGCAGCCAAGGCCAAAGTGGACGAGAACAAGGCCGCCGTTGTGCTGGCCGCGGCGTTCCAGTGGCAGCACGGCACCCCATTTCTCCTGGGACATGTGATTGGCTAACATGGAACGTGACGGAGGGTCTGAGAACATGGCCTCCGTGTGTCGTGATTGTTAAAAAGGGGCTGGTGGGAAGGACTAAAGGGGTCCAAACATAGCGGGCTCCATTTCGGACAGCACAAATACACGACACCAAATGGGTGCATTTGCAGCGAGCAAGAATCAACGAGCCAGACTCCAGAGGCGCGGTCTCCAAGGTCAGACCGATGTGTACTTGGAGTCGACTGGGACGGCGTTCATTCGTTTTGACTGTTTTGTTGGGGAGGTTGACACACATCATGAGGGTTTACACATCTGATCAAACACACACCAACTTGCCTATATTTCTCAGTCTGAAGCTTTCTTGTATGCATACGTGTTCTACCTGCCTCCACTTGAAGAGGGCATGTGCTTCTGTTGAATTTACTGATTCCAGAGCCTCAACTTAAGAAGCCAATTAAGATTAGTGTAATCAACTGACTCGCAGATACACCTGAACAGTTTTCCAATTGGCCTTGACTTTTGCGGATCTTGAGGGTTCCTGCAATCCGCAAAGGGCCTATTGCGCTTCTGCTTTATTGAATGTAAGCTGATACGTCAGCGATTGCCGCTCGGTTCAAAATGAAGGGCTCAAAAACAGCGAAGCACGCAAACACTCCACGCATGAGCATCTAATGCAAGGGCTGGGATCTTGTGAATGGCCAGACATCAGTCCATGCAATATCCCAGGTTGGAGTTTAACTCAATCCGCTGTTTGCTGTTGTCTTAAATTCCAATGTTTCAGGTGTTGGTGTTGACTGCAATCCCAGTGTGGCTGCATACCATATCTACCTTCAGAACAGCTGAATCTCATGTTTGTTTCTCCTGAACTCCTAATTGTTTCACCCCCCAAAAGTAATCCGGTGGTCTGATGCCCCTGCCAGGCTAAGGAGCAGGAGAAGCGCGCCCGCAAGAAGGACAAGGCCGAGGAGGGCCAAACCCGGGCCACCCATCAGCGGAAAGGCGGACTGGGGGTGGGATGGTTGGGGGAGGTATCGGGCACGTCGTTAAGTTGGGAAAAGAGGATTGGCCTTAGCTAGTTGAAAGCCATTGGACGTCTTCACGTCGTGCTTCCAAAGAATGCACGTTGCTGCATTGCTGCATGCACCCATAACTTGCGTGTCAAGGTGAGTTTCATTCGTTGAGGAAGCTGGTGCAGACTCGCCGTTTTGAACGGGAGGCAGGCTTCTTCTCCAAGCCGAAGAGACAATCAGACCAGAGGAGGGTCAAGCAGTCGCCGCAGTCTTTTCGGCTCCAGGGGCCGTCAATTTTTTGCTCTTTGAGCTTGTCAGAAGCGTTCGGCGCGCTCGGATTCGGATCGTTCAGCAGCCTACAAGCGGCTGACTTAGCTGCTGCAACTTCCGAGTTCATCCGCCATGAATACTGTTTATGCTGGCAGGAGTGAAGGGTGAGGGTGTGTGTGTGTGTGTGTGAGTGTGTGTGTGTGTGTGCGTGTGTGTGTGTGTGTGCGCGCGCGCTCCTGCCCGCCTGTCGGTTTGTTTGTTTGTTTGTTTGTTTGATTGGCTGTTTGTTTCTTTGCTTGTTTGTTGTTTGTTTGTTTGTTTGATTGTTGGTTTGTTTGATTGTTCTGTCTGTCTGTCTGTGTGTCTGTCTGTCTGTCTGTCTGTCTGTCTGTCTGTCTGTCTGTCTGTCTGTCTGTCTGTCTGTCTGTCTGTCTGTCTGTCTGTCTGTCTGTCTGTCTGTCTGTCTGTCTGTCTGTCTGTCTGTCTGTCTGTCTGTCTGTCTGTCTGTCTGTGTCTGTCTGTCTGTCTGTCTGTCTGTCTGTCTGTCTGTCTGTCTGTCTGTCTGTCTGTCTGTCTGTCTGTCTGTCTGTCTGTCTGTCTGTCTGTCTGTCTGTCTGTCTGTCTGTCTGTCTGTCTGTCTGTCTGTCTGTCTGTCTGTCTGTCTGTCTGTCTGTCTGTCTGTCTGTCTGTCTGTCTGTCTGTCTGTCTGTCTGTCTGTCTGTCTGTCTGTCTGTCTGTCTGTCTGTCTGTCTGTGTCTGTCTGTCTGTCTGTCTGTCTGTCTGTCTGTCTGTCTGTCTGTCTGTCTGTCTGTCTGTCTGTCTGTCTGTGTCTGTCTGTCTGTCTGTCTGTCTGTCTGTCTGTCTGTGTCTGTCTGTCTGTCTGTCTGTCTGTCTGTGTGTGTCTGTCTGGGTGTCTGGGTGTCTGTGTCTGGGTGTCTGGGTGTCTGTCTGTGTCTGGGTGTCTGGGTGTCTGGGTGTCTGGGTGTCTGGGTGTCTGGGTGTCTGGGTGTCTGGGTGTCTGGGTGTCTGGGTGTCTGGGTGTCTGGGTGTCTGTGTGTCTGTGTGTCTGGGTGTCTGGGTGTCTGGGTGTTTCGGTGTCTGGGTGTCTGGGTGTCTGGGTGTCCGTGTGTGTGTGTGTGTGTCTGTGTGTCTGTGTGTCTGTGTGTCTGTGTGTCTGTGTGTCTGCGTGTGTGTCTGTCTGTCTGTCTGTGTGTCTGTGTGTCTGTGTGTCTGTGTGTGTGTGTCTGTGTGTCTGTCTGTTTGTGTGTCTGTGTGTCTGTCTGTTTGTCTGCTTATCTGGTGAAGTAGTTTTGAGCATGGTTCTTTTCTGAAAGAAAACAAAGTCACTATTGTTCAATTGTTACAATTATGGTCAGGAAATTCTTCTGACAAAGGGATTGCGAGCACACACGTGCAAGATGCCACTGCATTTGACATATTTCTTGCTGCTAAAAGTGAAGCACACAGTAGCATGCACGCTTACTAACAAGCAGGAACAGCAGGTTGCCCAACGGAACATACTTTTTGCTGAAGAACCGGATGTCATGAGATTGTCTTCTTGAACACGTTTTTTGTTTTAAGCGGTGTTTGTACGGAAGTGTGCGGAAATGTACGGTGCTTTACTGTGATGTCTGTTTTTAACCGGATCCAAATTTCACAACCCGCTGTTTCTCGTCAAAACCAGGTATTCTTTCGACAAACAAAGGAGCACCATGTTGTTGGTTCTGACCCGGTTTGGCCTATCTAAGGCGCATGTTTTATGTGAATACAATGAGTGTATAAATATAGGTACATGCATACAGCATATGGGGGCTTAACACGGATGGTAGGCTACCGCGTTGTGCCAGCAGTGGCAGGAGTGCCGGCCTTTTCGTGCTGCTTGCGGCCTGCTTTTTCCGCGCGCAGAGCGAGGAGCACCTGACGCAAGCCCTTGCAAGCGGCCCGGTGGAAACGAATCCGCTCACTTGTCATCCTCATTTTGTGCCACGGTTAAAAGACTTACTAGAGTTGGTCATGGGCCCTTTGAGAGGTTTCTACAACCACCATAAGGCTGTTTATTGACGCAAACAGTAAGTTTGGTTTGGGCCCAGACACCTACCAGCTGGTGAATCGGGTTCAGGCAAATTCGTGAGCGGTCCGTTGACATGTTGAGGTCACCATGTGCGCTACCCTGCAAGGGTGGTACTTCAGGTGGCCAAAGTTTCCTCAAGCCCCCACTGTGTGGACAAAGAGGTATTCTTTGTGTCTTGCTTGGGTCCGAGAGCCCTCAACTGGTCTGACATTCTCCAGCTGCCCGAAATCTTAGGGCACGTTGGGCCAGCCAAGGCGATGAAGGTGCAGACTCCGCCCTGTCGGCCTTGCAGACAAGGGCCCTGACCCTGCAAGCTCCCAACGCCACCAACGCCACCAACGCCACCAGCGCCACTGCCAACGCCACTGGCACCAACGCCAGCAATGCCGCGAGCGGAGTGGCCAACGTGACCAAGGTGTCAGTGTGTACGTCAGGCCAGAGCAAGTCCTTCAAGCGTCAAATTTGGATCAGTTGCCCATGTGTGGTTGTTCTTGATTTGAGCGTTTGTTGGTCGGCTGGCTGGCTGGTTTGCGTGTAGTTAAAAGACGCATGTGCCACTAGACAAAGTCACGGGTGCAGGCTGTTTGGACGGCAACATGAAGGATGAGCCCTTGGGCACTTCTGTTGACTTGTGTTGAAGGGTGCTCTAGAAATCACAGCAGAATTCTTGTGCTGGTTTTTTTCTGGGTTAACGCAGATAACTCAGATAACCTTTCAAGCTTTTGGACATTGGCTGTTTCCCCACGGTCTACAGTGGATGGGCAGAATCCTGCACCAGTGGGTACGTGGCTTACCCTAATATTCACAGATTTCATCCATTCCAAATGGTGCAGTTCAATGGCCAGCCCGGCTTCTGTGCATGCTGTTTGCTTGCTTGCTTGCTGGCTTGCTTGCTTGCTGGCTTGCTTTCTTGCTGGCTTGCTTGCTTTCTTGCTGGCTTGCTTGCTGGCTTGCTTGCTTGCTTGCTGGCTTGCTTGCTTTCTTGCTGGCTTGCTTGCTTTCTTGCTGGCTTGCTTGCTGGCTTGCTTGCTTGCTGGCTTGCTTTCTTGCTTGCTGGCTTTCTTGCTTGCTGGCTTGCTTTCTTGCTGGCTTGCTTGCTTTCTTGCTGGCTTGCTTGCTGGCTTGCTTGCTTGCTTGCTTGCTGGCTTGCTTGCTTGCTGGCTTGCTTTCTTGCTGGCTTGCTTGCTTTCTTGCTGGCTTGCTTGCTGGCTGGCTTGCTTGCTTGCTTGCTGGCTTGCTGGCTTGCTTTCTTGCTTGCTTGCTTGCTTGCTGGCTTGCTTGCTTGCTGGCTTGCTTTCTTGCTGGCTTGCTTGTTTTCTTGCTGGCTTGCTTGCTTGCTGGCTTGCTTGCTTGCTTGCTGGCTTGCTTGCTGGCTTGCTTGCTTGCTGGCTTGCTTGCTTGCTGGCTTGCTTTCTTGCTGGCTTGCTTGCTTGCTGGCTTGCTTGCTTGTTGGCTTGCTTTCTTGCTGGCTTGCTTGCTTTCTTGCTTGCTGGCTTGCTTGCTTGCTGGCTTGCTTGCTTGCTTGCTGGCTTGCTTGCTTGCTGGCTTGCTTTCTTGCTGGCTTGCTTGCTGGCTTGCTTGCTTGCTGGCTTGCTTGCTGGCTTGCTTTCTTGCTGGCTTGCTTGCTTGCTTGCTGGCTTGCTTGCTTGCTGGCTTGCTTGCTTGCTGGCTTGCTTTCTTGCTGGCTTGCTTGCTTGCTGGCTTGCTTGCTTGCTTGCTGGCTTGCTTTCTTGCTGGCTTGCTTGTTTGTTGTTTTTCTTCCTTCTTTACTTTTGTTGGCTGCGCGTGTTTTGCCCGGAGGCGCCCAGATCCCGTTTTCCAACCGCGGCCCTGGCACCGAGTGCTTCGCCTCCGCCTTGGGCGAAGAGTGCTCATACCAGTGCGAGGAGGGATACATCGGGGTGGGAAGGCACGTGTGCCAGACCATCATGGCGGAGGGCCAGGCGGGGTCGGCTTTCTGTTTTTGTTGGTTTGCCTTGAGGATCAGCGAGCACGCGCTGACTACTAGGCTTCTAAGATTGAAAAGTGTTTAGGCCCCAAGTACATAATGTATGTATGGACGGGGGCACCCACGTTTGTCACTCGGAGTTGGGCCATCCCTCTGGTTCCACACGTGGAAACTGGTTCGACACCAAAAGGCTCATGGAAGGCGGGCGGTTGTGTAACTGAAATTCTGGCGGCTTGCCAGGAAGAGGAACAGCTCCCAAGGGATACCAAGTGAGCACGACTTGTCAAATTTGGAATGTGCTTAAGCAAATCTTGTTATTCCCGTCCGCGAGTCTGTTTCTCCTTTGGGGAGGGTTTCTGTTTGGCCGTTGTTCTGTGCATTGAGAGTCGAGTCTCCCGGGATGAGCCATTTGGAACAGGGTTACAGGGCCAAGCATTTGCGTCCTTGCTAGAAGTGCGACACGCGAAACCGTGACCCAGGTTCCATCTTGCAGGCACAGAACCGACATGAACCGTTGAACCGACACATTGCCCGTGATCTGTTCGTTCCTGATGAAAAGGGCTCACGGGTGGGGCGTGTTACTCGCTTTTCGGTGGAGGGCTCAGCATTGTTGGGAGAATCATGTGGGAGAATCAGCTATGAACTTCCAAGCCGAGCGCGCAGCGTCTGTAGTTCGACTGCAAGCAGCAGAGCTGGTCAAGTGGCGATTCAGGCATGGACAGGTTCTGGCGGTGTAGGACCAATTAATGTCAGCAAGGGCAATTGCTTGTTGGTGGAGGCCCTTGGGCTGGGCAGGCTGGGATGCGCCTTGCTTGGGTGGTTGCTGGTTGGGCTGGAGTCTCAGACACTGGGCTGGGCCCAACGCTAGTCTCGGACATGTGAGTATGCCTGACGCGTTCCTTGCTTAGTGTGGGTGGGTTGCTGGTTGGGCAACTCAAAACTAGGCGCTGCTAAACCTGGGCTGGGCGGGCTGGGCTGTGAGGCTAGTCTCAGACAGGTCAGACACTGAGTTTTTGCGATTCTTAGCGCTGACAACCCCGAAAATTTCAAGGCCCGCCGAGGGGGGGGTGGGCGGGGGGGGTGGGTGGGGAGGGGAAAGCGAAGATTCCCTAAAAACGAGATCTGAGCGCCCTTGGCCCCCTTGGGGCCGAGGCGAATTTGTTTGTTAGTTTTTTATATATTTATTTATGTATTTATTTATTTATTTATTTATTGTTTAATTAATTGTTTATTTATTTATGTACTAATTTATTTATTTTTGTGTGTGGGGGTGTGTGTGTGTGTAGCATGTGTGTGTGTGTGCGTGTGCGTGCGTGCGTGCGTGCGTGCGTGCGTGCGTGCGTGCGTGCGTGCGTGCGTGCGTGCGTGCGTGCGTGCGTGCGTGCGTGCGTGCGTGCGTGCGTGCGTGCGTGCGTGCGTGCGTGCGTGCGTGCGTGCGTGCGTGCGTGCGTGCGTGCGTGCGTGCGTGCGTGCGTGCGTGCGTGCGTGCGTGCGTGCGTGTGCGTGTGTGTGTGTGTGTGTGTGTGTGTGTGTGTGTGTGTGTGTGTGTGTGTGTGTGTGTGTGTGTGTGTGTGTGTGTGTGTGTGTGTGTGTGTGTGTGTGTGTGTGTGTGTGTGTGTGTGTGTGTGTGTGTGTGTGTGTGTGTGTGTGTGTGTGTGTGTGTGTGTGTGTGTGTGTGTGTGTGTGTGTGTGTGTGTGTGTGTGTGTGTGTGTGTGTGTGTGTGTGTGTGTGTGTGTGTGTGTGTGTGTGTGTGTGTGTGTGTGTGTGTGTGTGTGTGTGTGTGTGTGTGTGTGTGTGTGTGTGTGTGTGTGTGTGTGTGTGTGTGTGTGTGTGTGTGTGTGTGTGTGTGTGTGTGTGTGTGTGTGTGTCTGTGTGTGTCTGTGTGTGTCTGTGTGTGTCTGTGTGTGTCTGTGTGTGTCTGTGTGTGTCTGTGTGTGTCTGTGTGTGTCTGTGTGTGTCTGTGTGTGTCTGTGTGTGTCTGTGTGTGTCTGTGTGTGTCTGTGTGTGTCTGTGTGTGTCTGTGTGTGTCTGTGTGTGTCTGTGTGTGTCTGTGTGTGTCTGTGTGTGTCTGTGTGTGTCTGTGTGTGTCTGTGTGTGTCTGTGTGTGTCTGTGTGTGTCTGTGTGTGTCTGTGTGTGTCTGTGTGTGTCTGTGTGTGTCTGTGTGTGTCTGTGTGTGTCTCTGTGTGTCTCTGTGTGTCTCTGTGTGTCTCTGTGTGTCTCTGTGTGTCTCTGTGTGTCTCTGTGTGTCTCTGTGTGTCTCTGTGTGTCTCTGTGTGTCTCTGTGTGTCTCTGTGTGTCTCTGTGTGTCTCTGTGTGTCTCTGTGTGTCTCTGTGTGTCTGTGTGTCTGTGTGTCTGTGTGTCTGTGTGTCTGTGTGTCTGTGTGTCTGTGTGTCTGTGTGTCTGTGTGTGTCTGTGTGTCTGTGTGTCTGTGTGTCTGTGTGTCTGTGTGTCTGTGTGTCTGTGTGTCTGTGTGTCTGTGTGTCTGTGTGTCTGTGTGTCTGTGTGTCTGTGTGTCTGTGTGTCTGTGTGTCTGTGTGTCTGTGTGTCTGTGTGTCTGTGTGTGTGCGTGTGGGTGTTTGTGTTCTGTGGCTTTGGTTGGGGAAGGATTTATGCAGTCCATGGCTCACTTGGACACTCAAAGTGGTGCTTATCCTCCTTTTCCGAATATGGTTGGGGAAGATCATATGGTGGGCAACAAATGCATGAAACCGTTCGGCGAAATTCTCCTCTGAGGGTTTTGCAGCAGGAGTTTGCAATATCTTGCCAGGTGTGGAAGGACAAGTCCTTCTTCGGGGGGAATTGCTGGCGCCTTTGCGCTGATTCTCCCACCTGCACGTCTCCCCAGGCGCACCGCATCGAGAAGTAACAGACACCAGCTTCGGAGCGGAAGTCCTGGTTTGGGCCAGCTTGATGGGCAAGTGTCTTAGACGAAGAGGTTTTGGGGAAACACCTGACTTCATGGTGACCGCCGTGATTGCCTGTCTTCTGAATCTAGCCTTGGCACTAGCCTTGAACCTCAGAAATGGGCGATCGCGGCCATGTGCAGGAGATGTGGTCAGCCCTTCTTCCCACCGGGCCCTTCGGTGGTGTCAAAGCAAGGTGGCAGGAGAGTCTCATTTGCCCAGCGCAAATGGTTTGGTTCAGGTTCCAACTTCTTGTTCAGGTCCTTTGGGCAAATGAGACGCTCAACAGGGACCGCCAAAGGAGATGAAACAGCCAGAGAGTAACCAGGAATCCAATAGGAAGCCAACAAGCAATCACAGAGAAACATTCGAAAGTCAAGATGGGACTGGAGCTCAAGGATCAAAGCAAGAGGTTGTTTGTTTCGACTGTTTGAAATGACAATAGACAGTGAGGGGCCGGCGCCGTGAGCGATAGAACGGCCAGCAGCGCAGCTTAAATCATTGCGTTGTGACCTGTGTGCTCGTGCGGTCTTCTGAGTCGCGCTTCGTGCTCACGAATGTTGCAAGACGAGCCAAGAGAAAGGACCGAACTGTGATGGCTGGTAACGCTCACCTAGAGAATCCAACCGAACGCACAGCAGGAAAGCTCAAACATGAACATCTTAAAGTCACAAAACCTCAAGCGAGCCCAGCACCACACACACAGGCATACCTACACAGATACGCACACACGCAGACACAAGACAAAGCACAACCGCAGGACAACACACGAACACACACGAACTCACAGGCACACAACAACAAGAGAGTCGCACACAGACACACACACACACACAAAGCACAAAAAACACACAAAGCCAGCACGAATCACACAAGCTCAAACACACAAACACAACACGCATACGTCACTACACACAAAACACAAGGACACAGCAATGTACAAGAAACAACGTACACCAAACGCGCACGCACACATACAACAGCAGACGCACACACACACACACACACATACACACAAACACTCAAACTGACGACCAAACAGTTTCGCAAACACACACGCACGCAAGAGGCCAAACACACAAAGACAAACACAGCCCAAAGACACACACACACAAGAACCAGCACATTTACAATCACACACAAGCACAAACACAAATATAAGTGCAACATATGCACAAACACAAACACAAACACACCACCCACCCACCCACCCACCCACCCACCCACCCACCCACCCACCCACCCACCCACCCACCCACCCGGCCGCACACAAATATAAACACTAACATGCACGCGCACACCCACACCCACACACAGACACACACACAGACAATCGCACACAAATTCACACACACACACACACTCCCACCCAAGCACCCGCATCCACCCCCACACCTACTCATCGACACACACCCACACCTACCCACACACCCACACCCTCGCACTCACAGACCTGCACCCAGTCATAGTCACCCACAGTAATACACGGACATACATAGACATACATAGGCATACATAGGCATACATAGGCATGCATAGACGTGCACAGGCATACATAGAGACATACATAAACGTACATAGACGTACACAGGCATACAGAGAGACGTGAAAACTCACATTGCGACACATGCACACATTGACACCCATAGACTTGTGATACATGCGCTCCCAGATGCATTTGCAGAGCCGTAGAGCCAAAGAGGCATAGAAGCAATATATGGCTGCATTCAGAAACAGACACGGGCATGGACTTCTTCTCAAGCCCCGTCCTGGCGCATCAGAGGCAACATCGCCCGCAGCATGTTGTTCTCGGCGATCCCTCGCATGGGCACTATGACCAGAATCCCTTTCCCGCTTGATTCTTCAGACAGGTACTAAGTTCAGCTGCCTATGAATGCCGATAGGGAATCCCCTGGAAAGTGGTGGGAAGACATAAGTCCCCACCTAATCATGTCCAGCGAAGGGGTCACCAATTCGCTACCCGTTGCTCGTCGTTTGTGACGGGCAGGGAACCGCCTGGCGCCAGGTGCCGATGCGGGTGAACTCCACGGATGCCTCGGGGTGGTGTATGAAGACCACCTGCTTCGACGAAATGGGCGCGCTGATGAACATTGCTGAGGGCAACTACGAGGTTCGGTCAGTGTGATGACCTGTTCTTGGAACCAATCTGATTCTGAAGCTTATCACGGCTGTGTTCACCACCATCGTTGTCATGTTGCTCATTTTTGGGGGTGCTTTGCCTGTCCAGTACAAGTTGACACACGTTGGAGTGGAGATCCATGTTTTGCAAGCCCCCAAATGTGGGTTTTGTTCAGCTGATGCCGCTTTTGCCACTTCGTATTGATTGAGACATGCGATTCCACAAATGATTCACAGCGTGCGACCTCGCCCGACAAGATCCTTGCAGGTGGCGTATGATTTCAAGCTTGACTAAGACCTTGGCAGATGGTGGTTGTTGGTTAGTTGAACCGGTTCAACTCTGAACCGCGGCAAGTTCCATGGGCCATGGGTTGGAATGAACCAGGGGTGCCTATTGCCCTGACAAGAATTATGGCCATTTGCCCTTTGCCACGCTTTGAATGGTTCGATGACCATGCATACAATAACTCTTCGAGGTAGGGAGCATGCTTTGCAAATGGCTAGCCCCTTCAACCAGCGAATTGACACGCCTTCCAAGCTTTCCTTCTCTCCGCCCATGGAATTGGGAGAGTGGGGAGTCCTTTTTTTGTTCTCTTCATGCGCAACCAGAAGGAACTTGGGGGACCTCTGACTTTGATAGGTGTGGAAGCTGGCGCGGGATGAGAGCTCCGGGTGCTACGCGGACCACGTGAACCTGGATACCCAAACCGCAGCCCTGGGATCCTCCGATGCCACGGGCATGGGCATTATCATGGCATCCCGGTGAAAAGTGGCACCAGATTGCTGTTCAAGTTGTTTAATAGGAGTGCCCCTTTTCAAATGAACCAGCGAAAGGGATATAGCATTTTTGCCGTGACCATTGGGGAAGTAAGGTGTTGGTTGGCTTTTGGATGTGTTGTTCCCTCGAAGATCGACCAACCCAAAATGTGAGTTTGTGCTTTTCTACTGGAAAGCAAGGAGTGCATCGCGGATGCCATGGGCTGGATCTCTCGCGACCAGTGCCCCGGAGTCAGGGACAGGATTGGCAAAGTCGGGTTACTGCGCTGAGATATTGTGTAGAAATTCGGGACCCCCGCCAAAAATGCGTTCCTTGTGATTGTCCTTTGAACCTACCTTATCAGAGACCCTCAAAAACACAGACACACAGCCATTTTGTTTCAAGGTGTTGCAAGACAAGCAAGGTTTTCTCAGTTTGTGAGCCGTGTTCCATTGGCCCGGCGCTGTTGCCATTCTCATTAAAGGCTCCTTTGTTTTCCTATCCGGCCCAGCAAGTCAGCGAGTCAGACTCAAGAAGATGTGAGATGCGTATGTGCTCAGAGCTTTGAGCATTTGAGCTACGTACTATCAAAAGATTTTGGGCTCCAAAGTAAGGTTCCAAGACACTTGAGATTTGACTCATATTTGTCCTTGGGTCAATGCTGGCACGTACATCACGTACCATGTTTGCTCTTTAAACTTTATTGATGGTGGTAGAAAGGATTGAAATTCTTGGCCTAGGGTTGACTGTCACGTGTTGCAGTACAGCGCATACATCCCTGACATGCACAGTCTACAAATTCAGAATCAGCCTGGTTGGGATTCACGAGATATTCTGAGGTTCCTGCAGCGCGTCAACCAGACGCTCTCTGCATACGCCGGGATTCAGCCAGGCAACCAAACCTGGAACTTCCGGCGAGGCCCTAGAGGCCATGGGAAAGGGGCTTTTTGGTTCCTAAGACCTGCCAGTCTGGTTGTTTGGATGATTATGTGTGTGTGTGTCGTGACATTTTGACTGGTATTCTGTAGTTTGTTTCAACTTTGTGCGGGGCTTGGGCGGTTCCTTCGACCAGGCCTGTCTGGTTTGCTCGACATACATGTGGGGGGATACGAAAGGGCTGCATTTCTGCAGGATGCACCCTAGGGGGATCGCACGGAGTCGTCTGGTTTGTGCTAGCTTGCACAGGCTGTTTTTGGTTGTTTGCATCTTTGTGTCTGTGTGTGACTTTTGTTGTCTCTTGCCCGCTGATCTTGAACCCCAGATGTTTGCTTTGATGAGACCCACCCAGGCAGGAAAGCTGGACAGGATTCCTCACAAGAGACACATGTATGGCCTTTGTCGTCTCACGGTACTGTTTCCAGACGATCTATGCCAGTTTTTGTGCTTCAAGCAATGCTGTTTGGAGAGACACATATTTTTACTTAAACCAGGCACAATGATGATGTATTGTCCTCTCAATATTCTGAGAAGGAGTCCTTGTCTATCCTTTTCATTTTTTGGACACCACCGAATGTTGGCAGTTCAATATGTAGTTGTGGCATCATTGTCAGAAAGATAGACTTCAGTCTCGCACATGGCTCTCCAGCCAAGCTTCGAAACTGCACGATTGATTTGCATGTTTCAAGTACCCATGGCTTGCTGTGCTTGATCTGCGATATTTTTGGGAATCAACCATACTGCAAGCTTTGGTGACTGGAGGCCACCGGGGTCCACCGGGGTTCTGTGGGGACAGATACGCCCGATGAGTTCTCCTTGACCCTCTGTCCACTGCCCCTTGAGTTGCTGTTCCGACCAAGCATCAAAACCCCAAAAGGGTCTCAAAATGGGAAGTCCATTTGCTGTGTATTGGTCCCATGGTCTTGCTTTAGGCTTCCTTTTTGCGTGGTTGTGAGGCTGGGTGCCGCGCTTCTTCGACATCAAGTCCGGGGACCTCCTCTCCGAGGGAACCGAGGCGGCTTTGCACCCGAGCAGTTACACACCGACCACCACATCACACAAATTGCAAAAATAGAAGCGTCCAATCAGCAAGTGTCCAATCAGCTGGTGCTAGTTGAGCTTGCCAGCTTCTAATGAACCAATCACTTCGCGAAATAGAGTTGGGCTTTGATTGCGTAAACTTACAGAGGCCGCTTTTGCAGTGTTTATGTCTAGTTTTGTGTTGGAATGGGTTGGGTGCTTGCAGAGCAGCGTTTGCCTTTCTAACTGTTGTTTGCAACAGAACAACAAGTATGTGCAATGTTCCAAACACCCTTCTACTTCGGGTTTCTGGAGCTCGTCATGGACCATAGAGAGCCATTGTCAAGATTCTTGTTGATTGAGCTATGACCTGGCCCACACAAGTGGTCTGTGCCACTGACCGCGCGGCGAGGAGAAAGTTGGAGAGACATGGTCGGTGATGTCTACGGGCCTCTTCTACTCGGGGGTGCTGTTCGTGCAGACTTACTTGAAAAACACCGGTGCCTACAAGACCAATGCGGAAGCTGGAGAGAGCCAGGTCTCTATTATTGGGGCGGGTATCGAAGGGGTCTCCGTATACGGTCCCGCCATTTCGGCACTGAACGGTATCTATACATATATATATATATATATATGTATACATGTTGTGCAAGGAAGCTTGTTTGAACTTGTAGCAGCCAGCCAGAGGCAGCGATGGAGCCATCGTTCTTTTGCTTCTGCATGACCCTGCCAAACCCATCTTGCAACAGTATGGTGGACACCTCAGACGTTTTGCCTTCAGCAAGAAAGCTTGACGTTGTGACTCCTGGTACCATTGTATCGCATGTGTATGCTTTCCTCATACTTGCTTGAGACACACAGCTCGTATTTGACTCTGCGTGTATCCAAGTTGATTGTCGATCAGTCATGCAGCTCTGGAGGGCCATTCTAGCAGTGTGCAACTAGTTTGCGGGGCTTTGTGCCATGGTACAAGGCATGCTGAAGCGAGGTCCCTGCAATTGAAGGACCCTTTTTCAGGGAGCCGTGACCGTGACCCAAAATTTACCGTTTGGTCGGCGCTCCAATTATGTTTTTGTCGGTCCTTCGCTGAGGATCATGTCGCTGGCCGCCCGCATGATGGACATGGTCGATGCTGGGCCAGCGTTTGGCAGCTTTTTGTTGGCGCGTGGTGAAACGGAATTATTTTCCAAGAGTTGAATTGAAGCCCAAGAGGACACCGACAGAGCTGGCATGTTGTCCGGAAAACACAATCCTAGGACAGCTTTGAATACAAGTGTGTGTTTTTTTTGCTTGCCCAAAGCATGGGGTCCTATTTGTCGGAGAGCTAAGTTTGTATGACCAAGGACTGGCACAGTATGCTGTGCTATCAAGCCTTCGCCTCCGATGAAGCTTTGGAGGGCTACAACGGCACAGGCAGGGAGAACATGACGTGGGTATGGGGATGTGCGTTTTTGGAAGGATTGGCTTTTTGAGGTGGGTTTAAAGCCGCGAGGACACCCACCATTTGGGGTGGGTTCCGCCTATGTGGACGAGTTCGTATGTGCTTTGGTTGTGGGTTTCGCGGTTTTGAAGGAAAGCTCAAGGGAGATCACCTCATTTACGGGGAGTTCTCTATTTGGGGAGAACCCATGCCCATTTTGTCTCAAAGCAGTGATCTTCTCGCAAGTTCTTTGCCTTGGCTTCCGTGTCAAACCGCCGAACGCATGCTGACTGGCACGACAGCAACTGGATGGTCAGCCATTTCCTGCAACTCCGAGGGGTAAAAGGAGACAAGATATACAGGAGCATGTGACCCATCACCGTTCATAAGGCGGATGACTTTGAATTCGCTAACCAAAGGACAAATGGTGGTTGGGGGACATTGACCACATGTACAAGCAGTTGATATTGCGTTCCTCTAAACCATTTGTGGGATGTATCTTTAACATTTTCTAACACAGCTCATCAGATGGTTCTCGTTCGGAGGGTCCCTGTCTCCTCGACCACGTTGCACAACCAATTTCGGCATGCCCTCACTTACAGATAATACTGCTAGTGAATTCTCCGTTGCCCCACGCCGACCCTTTTCACCATTGGATTTCAGAGGTGTCGTCTATCCGTGCACTGGTCATGGTCGCAACAGGATACTTCCCTAGAAATGGACATAGAACCCACACAACCCTCACTAGCAGAGAAAACTCCGTCGGGAATGATCCCTACGAAATCCCTCGTAGTTTCCTTTGAGAGGATCCCTGGATTCATGCCCAGAATCCCGCAAACTCACTGAGAACCGGGCGGAAATCTGCAGGCATCCCCTTCCTCATGGACAGTGACGGCCAGTGCCGCGCCATCATGTGGCCTGAGAGGGACGGGTACTACCCCTTCAACGAGCAGATCTCCGCCGACTGGATCGCCACGGCGCGGGTCTGCTTTCAGAGCGACCAGTGCCCTGCCTGAGAAACGGGCCGACCGGTTGGTAAAATACAGGGACCGGGGACCCCACCAGTGGTGGCTGTCCTTTTGGCTTCCCTTTAAGCTAAAGTGAAAAGGGTACCCTCAACAAGAAGCATTCCAAATTTTGAAATGTTTTGGTAACATCTTCCTGCCCTTTAATTACTTAGACAATGATTTAAAGCCCAGGTTCAGGGTTGAAAATTGAGCTTGTAGGGCCAAAATCCGGTATCCACATCAAGCACCTGTAACAACGAGCACTTCATGACCTGAACGCAGCGTGCTTAGGTTGGGGGTATAGCGGTTGATTTGGCAAGGCAAGCCCGCAAGTGGGCCCGAATGTGGCATTTGCTCGGTGGGGCAACGGACAATATTATTGGTAGTCTGTTGTTCATTTGGAGGGGCACGGGCGGCGTGCCCAGTATCACATATTTTCTCAAACACGAGTGGGCCTAGCCAATTGAACCAACCGTAAGGTGGGGAGTCAAACATGAGCGGGAAAGGCTCGGGATTTGCTCAATGTATGTCAACTGAAAGCGTGCTAGTGCTTTGCTCCCATTCGAGCTGGTCAAACTGCTAGACTGGTGAAGTTGCGTGGCTGTTTAGTTGATATCCCAAGTTATTTTTTCTTGTTACTTTGAGTAGTCTATGGGTCAAATCGGGCGATGGTTGCACGTTTTGCAACTATCCCCTAGAGATACCAGATCTCTGGCCAAGAGATGGCCAATGGCCGAGCGGGGATGGGAATGCTTTGTTTCCAGACTCCTTCAACACCCAACGTGCCTTGAAATCGGCCGAGGTTCCCATGCTCCCGACCCGCCATGGTGAACATGTGGAAGGCGGTGGTCGGCAGGGCGTCACATCCCAACGTGGTGATTGACGGCTACCCCATTCTGTCGGATTGGCCAGCGTGCCTGGGTCGGTTGTGAGCAAATTCCAACTTTTTCAACTTTTGGCGACATCCGGGAAGACCACTCCAAGGGCAAGGGGTCAAGTTAAAGCTCTTACTTTCCATGGCAAAGGAGACAGTTTGAACCATGTGTTTAATGTTTGCGTTTCTGTTGATGGTAACGCAATTGTTTTGTTGCAGGCTTAGAGCAACCGAGGTACATTGTGCAGCTGCCCTACTACACAGTCAACATGGTCAACTCGGATGCTACCTTCCTTGACATGTTCAAGAATGGCTGGTTGGCAGATTGGGCAGACTACAACAGCAGCGTCTTCTACGGGGGCTCCAACCGCTATGGTATGGGGGCAGGACCGGACATGGAGTGGTGTTCCTTGGCGCAAAGCCTGATCCTGAGTTGAAACGAAGCAATTACATCAGAGGACAGTGCCAGTGCCGATACTTGCTTCCCCTTATTGGCGGTTACAGTAGCTGGCGCCGCGTCGCGCTTTGTACGTCGTGCCACCGGGTGGTCTGGGTCCAGGACAACACACACACAGACACGCATATACAAGATGGCACTGGTATATGAAGCATTGTTTGCCAAACTCCTAGCTTTAGTCCACAGCACTCTGCAGGAAAGATATGGACAGATTATTCGCGGTGTCAGAAATATGAGTTTGCACCCAGGTAGACCGAGTTTACATTACATAGAGGCTGTTTCAAATAGCCCCCTGAAATGCGACTGGTCATGGTTGTTCGTATGCCGACTGCAGAAATGTGGCCATGACTTTTCCCCAGGCACTCTCTCGTTGGAAGGTTCCTTTCCATAGGTTCGTTTCCATGGCTCCGTGTGGATCCCCCTGGGGAAATTCGCTGGGGAAATTCGCCCCGGGATCACAGGCTCCGGGGCCACGTACTTCGCGGACCGCTACACCATGAACCCCGCCGACGCCAAGTGCCGGACCTGGAGCCCCTACAGCGTGGCCGGGTGGCTGCCGGCCGCGCCGGACACCATCAAGGCGGCTCGGCGCGACGCCTGTTTCTGAGCTTTGAAGCGATTCATATATCATAGATGCTTGTGTTTGGGTTCGACATTTGCCTTGTTGGTAGCATGTTTGTAAAGCCTGGTAAAGCAACCCCCAGCCAAGAGGGTTTTTGCACTGTCAAAAAGAGCTGAAAAGGGAACGATCCTGGCAGGGGACATTCTGTAAATGTTTTGGGTGGATTAAACAACGTGTATCACGTGTTGCTTGTGTATGTTGCTATCGGGGTTTCCTTTTTCACTTGTTACCGAGCGCTTTTAATTCCTGTTAAAGCTGATCATGGAAACCTTCATGCCAAACCTACACATGAAGATACCTGGTTGCCTACAGTGGTAGTTGCAGCCACTGAGTTCGCAGAGCCAAAGTCCAGCTAGAAGGGAGGAGGGCCCCTAATAAATCACCAAGAGCAAAATGCGAATGGAGCTGTGTGTTGGTTCCTTTTGACAATAAGGGTGGCGGCGGGTTTCCAATAAGCACTCGTAATCCCACACAACTTGGAGGGACTGCCTGTTGTTGGACTCGACCACCTGGTTGGAGTTGCAGGGAGCAAGCAGAGGTTTGCCCTGGCAGGGCCACTTGCTGGAGATGCTGGCCACGGGGGAGGCAGTGTACCCTTTTCCTGGCACGGACAAGCACATTTTGTGGCGCAAGTCGATTCTGGATCCCTCCATGAACTTTGGCGTGCATTAATTTCCGGAGGTTGGGAGGTAGGGAGTCGCCCTGTCCGCTGCGGGTTTCATGTTTCGGACCAGTGTGCAAGAGTCAGACTAACTTTCTCATCTGCGCAAGGCGTCAGCTGTACTTGTTTGACAGTCCATTTGCACACACTGCCCCTGCCGGCAGTCAGGTTTCCGATTCGGAGGGTTCGAGATTTCAGTTTGGCAATTTGAAAAGTGGAACATGCAATGACCCTGGCAGTGGCACCCTGTTTGTTACAAGGGCAGACTTGCCTGAAGCTGGATTATAGCAGCTCGAAAGACGACAGTCCAATCGGCATGCCTCCATGCTTCCAGAATAGCTCCAACTGCAAGCCCAAGCCTTGAGGCAAGGTCTCTGCTGGCTCCAGGAATCCAAGCTCAAGTTCTCCCATTCGCACATACCCATGCAAGTGTCAGCTGTGAGGGTTTGGGCAATCCCGATGTTTGGAGCAGTTGAAATGGCCACCGGAAGGCAACCATCGGAACGTAGCGACCTGTCGGGGAGGGATTCGCGCTTCAACTCAAGGCCCCAATCAATTCTGCTTGCGACCCATTGTTGAAGTTGACGGATATTTGACTGGGCGAATTGCGGCGGGGTTTGCCATGCTGATGATGAAGGCTTTCTGCGGCTCCCGATTTCAGATTGGTGACACAGTACTGTGTTCATTAGTACGTATTAGTATGTGTATTAGTATTATTATTATTGTTTCTTGTCATTGGCATTATTATTGTTATTATTATTACTGGTATTGTTATGATTATTACTATTATTGTTATTATTAGTAGTTGTATTAATATTACCATTATTATTGTTATTATTATTATTATTATTATTAATATTATTATTAGTATTATTATTATTACTAATATTATTATTAGTATTATTATTATTAGTATTATTATTACTAATATTATTATTATTATTATTATTATTATTATTATTATTATTATTATTATTATTTATATTTATTATTATTATTCTTATTATTATTATTATTATTATTATTATTATTATTATTATTATTATTATTATTATTATTATTATTTATTATTATCACTAATAATAATAATACCAAACATAATGATGTTTGCGCAGTTTGATCAGACCAGAAGGAGACACCTGGCAGACAAGGAATTGGAGCAATGATTCCAGTGCGTTTGTTTAGGGTGTTATCCCATATGTCTATGACTGTTCAATGGGGAACCCCGGAAAGTGGCTAGTGGATATGAATCCTCCTACATGATGTCCACCAAAGTTTTCACTTAAGAGTTATACCCCTCCTAGCTTATGTCGGTAACGGTGTCGTGGGCACGTGAGCAACCCAAGGGAAAGTACTCCAAGAGGACTTTCCTCATGAACATATGGGTATGGGTCAAAATTAAACCACCAGGTCAGGTTTTAGTCAGCTTTTCCATTTACCAGGGTTCCATTGTGGGTACCTATTTTTGACCCACACCCATATGTGTGTATGTTTCAAAAAATAGGGAGTTTGAACCCCGAAAATGGGTGGTTTTAATTTGGCTTTCGCTCGAAAGCAACCTCAAAAATGGTACCTTCCAGAGAAGCACAAGCCCATGTGTTTGTGGCTTCCTGTGAAGCGAATGGGAGTGTAAAATGGGCAAGACTAGACAACTATGCTTTTGTGGTGGACAAAGACTGCGAGGCTGGTTTCTCCCCTCTGGGAGGGGGAGCCGTAGTACTGAGTCGATCCGGCACACTGCGGCGGCGGTCGACGGCGGGTGATGCATATCCTGGCTTCCGCACTGGGGTGATCCACCTTGGGAGTGCGTGCCGTGACCGAGGCCACCGCCACATGACTGCCCGTGTCCTGCTTCGGTTGGTGCAGCGCACTGCATATGCAGCCGGTCGTGCTCCATTTCTTTCCTGTCCGCCTCGCCACCCATGTTTCACTTTCAGAGTACAGGAGGCGCGGACCTTGGTTTCCCCTTTGCCGTTTCCTCATGCCGAGAGTGCACGAGATTGGCAGTCGGCTGTAGATTTTGCCACACATTCCTGCTGAAGTTTCAGCTAAACCTCTCCCCTCTTGTTCTTGTGGTTTTTGTTTTCCTTGCAAATCCACAGCCGCAGAGTGGTCCTATTCGGGGAAACTTGCGAGCTAGGAACTGGAGCAGCTACGTCACTACCATCGACATTGCCGGAGAGTTGTTTGGGCTCAGCACTCTGAAGCTCGGGGTGGACTTCTTCCGCAAGAACACGAACCACTTCAGCAAAGCCCAGGGCTTTCACCACTTGCCCACCCCGGGGCCTTTGAACCCGGACCCCAAGGCTCCTGATCTCCAAATACCTGAGCTCCTTTCTGAGGCAAACAGTGGCCTTATGGCTGTCTTGTTGGATCATTTTCGACACCTTTTCTTCTTCTTCTTTTTTGTGTGTATTGGAAACCGATACAGAAAAGCCAGCCGGTATTTGGAGCAGGGGGTCAGCAGAGCTTTTGTTGCGCTTTGTGCTTTTGTGTGCCCATGGTATTTCCGTGATCCACTTTCTTTTTCGACTGAACTCAGTGAAGGAACTTGAGCGAAGCCTCGGGAGCCACCCGTAGCCTTCATCTGAAAAGCTCGAAGGTAGCACAGTGGTCATTGGCAAGGCCCAGCTTTGCAAACCCTGCCAAGCCTGCCATCTAAATCCTGAGAGCGAGCTGCTCCCAAGTGATGAGCGGTGTAATTGAACTTTTGACTCGTAGAGTCCTCAAAGCAGCCCTGTACATAGATTATTTTGCATGGAATAGCCAGGGCGCGCTGCTGACTCTTGAAGAGACACAGCAAGGTACAGCAAGGAGTGCTTAGAAATGAAGCGGCAACACAGTCGCGTTGCGATTGCAGCTTGGAGTTGAGATGGGAGGAGCATGAGCTGGCTCGCTCTAGCCTTGTGCAACCATGGGTTTTAGGGCCCATTGCGATACCAAGTGATAACATAGTCATGGAGAGGCGCTGTTTGGTATCACAGCAAGCATCATTTGGCACAACCTTGGCCTAGTCTTACGTGCTTGGACGAGGCCACACCGCCCTTTGTGTGCATATTGATCTACGGTGTTTGGGTGATGGGCTTCACTCAGGGTGGTGTTGATACTGGTCCGATCACGCGCCCCTATCATGGTAGAAGCCCCCACTGAAGGACTGATCTGAAAAGCTTCGGACAAACTTACTTTCGGACACTGAGGGCAGGGGGGCACACTCATATGCACCTAGGAAGGGCTTATGGGCTCAATAGCAGTCAACAACTTCACGCCTGGCGTTTATTCAAAGCGTGGTGAGTCTTGTTTGCCAAACCTTTGACATGCTTGTCTTGACTCAGCACGTGCCATTCTGACTTGAAACATGATACACAACGCCTTACTAAGCACAGGCTGAAGATTGATCATGGGCTTACCCTGAGCTTAGGTTGTGCCTTTGTTGTTTAATTTTGGATTCGACAATGGACTTATGTTCCCAAGTCGAGAACAAAACGGGTGAAGTCCATGCGCTCAAAATCCAGCCAGAAGCGAGGTTCCCACTAGAAACCGCCCAGCCTGCAAGAGTCCGAAGGCCCTTCCTAGCCGTTTCCCCAATGCGAAGGAGGCCCATTGGAGTAAAAGCAGTGGCCAGAGAGAACAGACAGCTGGTTCAGAGAGGCAGTGTGGCCGTTCCAATCACGGCATCGAATGGGGTGTCTGCGTTTCTGTGTGTTTGTGGGGGCCTGTCTTTGAGCCAGGCAAGGACGAGCCCGAAGAATACACCTCCAAGGACCGGCCGGAGCTTCAAGGCCCAAGGATGGTTCGTAAAATGGAAGGCCCTAAAACTGCGCTTCTTTCCTTGCGGGCGTCTCCCAAAAAGTGTTTTTCTTGTTGTTTAAGGACAATCCAGCCGGGGCCTACCTCGAGAAACATCCAAATTTGGCGATTCTGAAAAGTGAATCTCTTGTTGAGGGACACCTTTTCGAGACGTCACTGGTTTTGACGCATCCCCATGCTGGATATGTCCAGACATACAGCCGTGCAGAGTGTCTGGCTTCTTTGGCGTATTCGACCGGATGGGCAGAAATCCTGTCTGGAGGTCCAAATCTTATTGCAGATGAGGGAGCGATTGTATGCACTCCTTATTACTGCCCTGCATCCTAGTGAGACCACATGATTTTCACCTGGCGTGGAAGGGCCGTATGGCCCGATATTGGTCGATACATTCTACGAGTGATTCGCCGAGATCGGAGAAACGAACGCGACAGGAGCTCACCAACAAGGTCACAGAGATCGCCCAGCAGCGCGGCCGCCGCGGTTTCGACCGCAAGGCGAGGTCGCGTCGAGCCGAGTCCCAATGAGTCGACCTCGGGATCTTGAGCCGTGCGGAGTGTACCTTGGCTTGTTGTTTGTTGTTTGCTGAAGCCAAGATGAGCATTTCCGTTTAGAACTAGTGCGATATGTTTCAAAACAACCGGGAGTTTCCTGGGGTCGGTTTTGAGTGAGGCCCCGTTCCGGTTTCATGGTAGCCCACGACCAATGTCACGCCAAATACAAAGTTCGACACCTGCCAAATTGGCAAGGTACGAGTGTCAAACCTGTTGGCAAAGGACTGTGAGGGTGTGCCAACAGAACACCTGGATTCGGAGGGGCATTTGGATTTGACAGCATCCCAGCTGGCAGGCAGGCCTGGGTCTGCTTGACAGAATTGTTGCTTTTAACACATCCCTACTAGACTTCCGGTTTTGAACTTGAAATACGTTTTCCAAGATGCGAGGGGCAGTGTTATGACTTAGCGTGAAATTTTAAGCTAAGGTGACTCATCCAATAAAGTGTCGGCCGAGGCAGACTTCAGAGCTTGCAATCGTGTTTCTCAACATGATGGACCGTCCTGTTGGTCCCTTGAATCATCCCAAAGGGATCTGCTATTTTCCCACATGTCGGGCTGTCAACATCATGGACCAGTATAGGCTCGTGTCTCTATGTTTGACAACCTGACGTATGATAGGCCAACAAGCGCGAACATCATTTTGCCAGTCCTTGCTTGATCATATATGTCGCAGGCTACCGCCTTTGGGCTTGGTACCGTCTCATTAAGAGCAACCAATGTAGACACCCTTTGTCCTCTTGGTGCCGCTAGTTTCAACTCAAAGATGGGAAGTCAGTCTGCGCAATACCGGGGGCTTCCCCAAGCATGTTTATTTGCTACGGGCCCGATTGATTAGGGGATGCCCCTTGACAGAGGGGAGCCTGTATGCCCTCAGTCCGGTTGCCCGTCTCGGCGAGTTATTATTGTGTTGACCCTCACGGTGAACGGTGAAGGTTGTTTTTTCTTGATTTACATATTGATTATATCAGGTTTTCGAGTTATGAATGACTAACCCTATTCAGTGATCCACGGGATATCCAAGGGCTCAAGATGAGCAGCTTCCACCGGAACCACACCTGGAGGGGATTTGCGATCCGATCTCAAAACACAATCCCATTTTATGGGGTGTTTATCGGGCTATAGTGTGAATGAGTAGTAGGGGAATCAGGATTTGCGTGTTCGCCCTTTCTCACACACCAGTTACCGTTTGTGGCTTGGTAACAGACAAGGTATCGCTCAGCGTGTGCGTATGTTTTTGTCGACCGTCTCACGGAGACATGGGCAGGAACAAGTGGCGGAGTTCCTGCCAAGCCCCTCAGGTGTTCTTTGTGTACTTGCGCTGTGGGTTCCCCTTGCTCCAATACTCATTGTTGCTTGTTTGAAGTGTTTGGAACCATCGAGTCGTTTGCCCTGAGGGATAATGTTTTGTGCGGGGTAAGCTTAGCTTTTGCAGGGTGTTTGACGCTGGGTCTTTTCCTGCCGAGACACCGACGTGAGTAGTTGTTGATGATTACGGGGGGAGTCAAGGACAACTACTGGTTTCAGCGGTTGGCCCGAGTTTGAGACAACCCGTGTGCTGCAAACAAACTGTGTCTAGGTCTAAAGGGTAGTGCCCTTTTACCTTCTTTTGGGGGAGGGTTCCCCTAATTGAATAGACTACAGAAAAAAGGGTACTCTTATTCTAACCTCTGCACTGGAGGACCTAGGTGTTCTTTTTTCATCCTGGCCGCACAACGCGGGCACCTTCCAAGAATGCCACGCTCGTGTTCAGGCGTACATGGAGAAGCTGCAGAAGCTTCTGGTGCACGCGGCCAAGCATGGGCCGCTGGATGCTTGCACGAAATAAGTCGTTCAGGGAAGCCAGCAACAGGAAATTCGACAGGAAGCTTGCCAAACTCCTGGTTTTGGCAGGCATTTGGCTAACTTCGTGCAGAATTTGGTGTAGCTAATTTCTTAGCAGCTATTGTTTGTAGGGTGGCTCACCAGGGTCGGCATGCTTGTGGTGAAATGTTGGTTTAAGGTTGCCGCTTTCCGTGACTGGTCAGGGGAATCGCTTGTGGTGCAGTAGCCATGGGGATGATACCCCTTTGCTAACACAGCGTTTTTGTTTCTCCACAACCATGATGGTACGACTTACTTGCACACTTCCAGCGATAGGTAGCTGGAGAACACCAGGATGCGAACCCTAGAGGTAATTCAAGCCCATAATGTGTGAAGTGGTCAAAGCATGCATTTGCTCGGCGTTGGTAGGGTTGGTCAGACACAACTGGTATCAGGGTTCCTATGCAGGACACCATGGTGCATGAGTGTTTCAACTGTGGTGCTACGGTTTTAAGGAAGCATGATGTGCAAGGGCTTGCCTTCTTTTTTTTTAACATGGGAAGAGTAATTCCTGGATTCAGCCCATACATCGAACGCTTGTAGATATTGTCAACAGGGGAAGACCTGGCGCCCCTCTCACGGAGGGCCCTGCCATGATTGGTACACCTCTTTAGCCAGCAATGAAAGGCCAAGTGTAGCTTGTAACGTGCTGCGTACACAGCCACAATATACATATGCATGTATTTTTGGATATGTGTGTTTATAATATGTTCATGTATTATATGCATGAGCGGTTGGGGTACCTTTCCTCCCCTTCAATGGGTTTAAGTTGACCGGCATCAGGAGCAGCTGTACATCTACGCCTCCATGGTCTCTGCGGACTTTGACAACACCGGCAGCGCCTTCGCCGCCATGACCGAACCCGTGCGCGGTCACGAGGGCTGTTCACCAACTTTCGGGGTCCAGGTGAGCCACAAGCAATGGATGGTTTAATTGTGGTTGTCAACAGCTAAGGTAGGGCCGCCATTTCTATTTCTATCTCTTATGCCTGTTTTCGATCATGACTCTGTTGGCACGCTGACAAGGGCGGCGGACCGGGGGAAGTCTGAAAGATGCGCCTGGGCCAAAGTAGGCAATTGCAAAAGGATGTTTGAATCAAGGGCCTTCCTTGCTTTCGGATCCTGGAAGGAAGCCAACCATTGGGAAGGTATACCTTTGACTCGAAACGATCTCGGCCCAGATTCTGAGTCACCCCCGAGACTTCAATGTCAACCTGAAAAAATGAAATTATTGTTCTGAGCCTACGTAGTTGGACCCCGAAGGCTCGGTTCCCTGAAGCTGCCCAAGGATTTCCATTTGGACATGTCCTGAACTGAGAGACGCCGAAGCCGGCCGGCGTCCTTTGGCCCTTCAGGAATGGTTTGTGTCTTTCGCGGTTGGCAGAAACACAAATGCCGGATAAGCCAGATGGGCTCAGAGGTGTGCCCGAAGAAAAGCAGGGCCTTCCGAAGATTGCCCCAGAATGGGCTGCGAAGCATGTCCAAGCATGGGAAGTTAACTACCAAAAACGTGGACCCTGTGGCTTGCTGTACCTGTGACCAGCCCCTGCCTGGCTTGCGCTTGCGCGAAGTCTCGCTTGCGCGCAGGAAGATCGAGCTGTGGAACGAGGCACTCCAGAAGGTGGGTTCTGGGGTTCCGGGCCGTGAGGACAAAGTCTGCAGGATCAAATCCGCTCATTCCGCATACTAGCTTACAAGCACTGGTGTTGATTACCATCATTTGAATTGACTGTGGCCCACATCCCCTTCAAGATGTCCATGGAGGTGGCACCCTCTTCGCAGGAGTGGAGTTCCCCCAAGCAGGGCTTGCCTTTGAAGGTGGAGAACAGGACCCCAAAGAGAGGTTGTTCGCTTTTGGTTTTGGGTCCCTTGCTTGCCCAAGTGAAGCGGCTGAAAGGCAAACCTTGCAGGCCTTGAGCCCGTGCCAAACCACCACTCCAAATCACACATTTGAGGGAAGCTGAACATGTGATGCTGAGTGCCCAGCGTGTTTGTTTTGCATTCCCTGTGAGGTGAACAAGATGCTACCACTGCTGACGGAGTCCTACAACAACCTGAAGATCCTCGGCCGCGAGCAAATGACCGTCGCACCGACCCCCTATTTTTGTTTGGGTTTGAAATGTGTGAATGTCCGGTCTCTATAAACAGAGCTTTTGCTTCAAACAAATAGACACAAGGGTTCTTAAGGGCAGGGTGTCCTTTGGGGTTGGGGCCATGTTTTGGAAGAAAGCAGAAGCACTGCCAAACTTACAGAGAAATTGGTGCATCCTATTGGTGTGTCAGTGATCTACGTTCACCCAAAACTGAATAGTCAAGCGTGGGAGAATGGAGTCTGCCGTTGAGTCTATTTTTGACAAGCTGTTGAGATTCTAAGGCCCCTCGAGGTTGGCCTTTTACAGCATTTTCCGGGCTCCTTGCTTGTGCAAGTGAGGAACAGCTCGGAGGACAAGGCAAGCGCAGGCGCAGAGGGACCGATACAGGTAGACAGAGCGGGGGGAAAGGCACTGTCATCGCCTCTTTCTCAATTCGGTATGTCTCAAAATGCGTAATCCCCAAGTGGTTGTCGTGCGGGTTCGTTTAAAACAGTTTCAATCATGGTGCGTTTGGTACACAGACAAAAGCAACCCGGGTTAGAGTCATCACCCATCAAGCAATGTGTGCTGAGCGCTTATCCTGCCGCAGAGCTGATTTTCACGCATCTGAGCTACAAGCAACTTGGGAGCATTTCCGTTGCCATTGCCTCACGTCGCATGGGGTTATAAGTCTAATAAGATGAACATATAATATCATTATTACTAGTGTTTCATGTTTATTATTATTGTAAATATGATTAACTATTATTATTATTAGCTGACTATTATTATTATGTTATTTTATTATTATGACTATTATTATTACTATTATTATGTTTATTGATTATTGATGTTAGACTTACTGTATGATTAGTATTATTATTATTATTAGTATTATTATTATTGTTAGTGTTATTACTATTATTATTATCATTATTATAATTTGTGTTATTATTATTGTTATTATTAGTATATTATTATTATTATTATTATTATTATTATTATTATTATTATTATTATTAATATTATTTATTATTATTATTATTATTGTTGTTGTTATTGTTATTGTTATTGTTATTGTTATTATTATTATTATTCTTATTGTTATTGTTATTGTTATTATTATTATTATTATTTATTATTATTATCGTTAGTATTACTATTATTAGTATTATCATTATTATCATTATTATTATGTCTACTATTATTATTACTACTAGTATTAGTATATGTATCATTTATTATTATTATTACTGTTATTATTATCATTATTATTATTGTTATTATGATGATTATTATTATTGTTATTATGATGATTATTATGTGTTGATTAATCTTATTGGGGTTCTAACTTGAGGTATAGAGAATGGGAAAGTGTGACGCCGGTTCCGGGGTCCTGTTTTCCGCTTGTCTTCCTGTCTCCCAGTCTCTCCGGTCAGATGCCAGATGCTGTAACGCTGACTCCAGGGTCATGTCTCCCGCTTGTCTCCCTGTGTCTCTCGTGTTTCCTGCTTGTCCCCCTGTGTCTCCCATTCTCTGCGGTCAGATGCCAGATGCTGTGACGCTGGCTCCGAGGTCGTGTCCCGCTTGTCTCCCTGTGTCTCGCAGTTTCTGCGGTCAGAGACGCTGTGATGCCGGCTCCGGGGTCGTCTTTTGCTTGTCTCCCTGTGTCTCCCAGTCTCTGCGGTCAGATGCTGACGCCGGGAGGGGCGTGTCTCCCACTTGTCTCCCTGTGTCGCTGGCTCGGGGTCGTGTCTCCCGCTTGCCTCCCTGTGTCTGGAGGCCAGATGCTGTGACGTCTCCCTGTGTCTCGCAGTCTCTGCACTACTTGTGACGCTGGCTCCGGGGTCGTATGCTGTGACGCTGGCTCCGGGGTCGTATGCTGTGACGCCGGCTCCGGGGTCGTCTCCCGCTTGCTCCCAGTCTCTGCGGTCTGACGCCGGCTCCGGGGTCGTGTCTCCCACTTGTCTCTTTGTGTCTCCCAGTCTCGTCTCTCTGTGTCTCCCAGTCTCTGCGGTTGGATGCCAGATGCTGTGACGCTGGCTCCGGGGTCGCGTCTCCCGCTTGTCTCTCTGTGTCTGGATGCCAGACGCTGTGACGCGTCGTGTCTCCCGCTTGTCGTTTGTCTCCCAGTCTCTGCGGTCGGATGCCAGATGTTGTGACGCTGGCTCCGGGGTCGTGTCTCCCGCTTGTCTCCCTGTGTCTGGATGCCAGATGCTGTGACGCCAGCTCCTGGTTGTGTCTCCCAGTCTCGTCAGTCTCTGCGGTCAGATGCGAGATGCTGTGACGCTGGCTGCAATGCTGTGACGCTCCCAAGTTACCTTGCCTTTTTGAGCTAAGATGTCCTCGGCCACTTGCGCTCGTTGGCCCCGCAAAGCCATAAAAACTCGGTGAAAGCCCGTTACTACTCCGTGGAAAAGCCGTGAAAACTCGTGACATTTCACGCTCTGAGTTATCTTGTCCTCACGACACCAAAAACCTTCTTAGCCCATACGGCCTAAGAAACTCGCGAATCGGAGCCTCTCTCCCAGTTTCTGCGGTCTGTGACGCTCCCTGTGTCTCCCAGTCTCTGTGGTCAGATGCCAGACGCTGTAACGCCGGCTCCGGGGTCGTGTCTTGTACTTGTCTTTCGCTTGTCTTTCTGTGTCTCCCAGTCTCGTCAGTCTTTGCGGTCGGATGCCAGATGCTGTGACGCTGGATGCCAGATGCTGTGACGCTGGCTCCGGGGTGTTTGTCGCTCGTCTCCCAGTCTCTCGGATGCCAGATGCTGTGACGCTGGCTCCGGGGCTGACCTTGCTTGCTGCCAGCTGGCCGTTTTTAATGCTTGCAGCCCTCAACAGGAAAAATGAAGGTCCCGGGTTCCGGGCAAAACCAACTGAAGCTGCTTCTTGTTTGCGAGTTTTGAGGCTGACCTTGCTTTCTGCCAGCTGGCGGTTTTGCTTACAGCCCTCAACAGGAAAAATGAAGGTCCGGGCACTTGCCCAGTTTTGAGGCTGACCTGGCTTGCTTGGCATCCAGAACCGGCGTTCGGCTCCCTTCGGCTCACGTGGCAGCAGCACGCACGCGCAATTGAGAAGCATCAAAAGCAGTCCAGCTAGAAACATAGATTCGAAGTCAAAAGGAACGACTTGCACAAATGTTTAGCAATGGGGAAAGGGCATTTCGCAGATTTTGCTGTTAGCTTGTGCAAAGGCTCTCTCTTGGTCAGGTTTGCATCCTTGTGGAGCATCGTTGGAGCTAGAAGCAAGCAATGTCGAGCCTTAAATATGTCTATTTTTCTTGATAAACAAACAAATCGTGACATTCGGCTGATTGCTTTGCTCAGGAAACTGAGCTGCTTTTTTGGAAGCCAGTGCCGCACTTTTTGGCCAAGTGCAGGTTTGCATCCTTGTGGCGCGTCAGCAGAGCCCTGTCGAGCCTTAAATATGTAGACTGCTTTCGATAGACAAATACCGTGACATCCGGCTGATACTGAGCTGCTTTGTGGAAGCCAGCGCCGCACTTCTTGGTCAACTGCAGGTTTGCATCCTTGTGGCGCATCAGCAGAGCCCTCCATTTTGTTCTATAAACAAATGTACCGTGACATCCGCCTGATTGCTTTGCTCAGGATTCTGAGCTGCTTTTTGGAAGCCAGTGCCGCACTTCTTGGCCAAGTGCAGGTTTGCATCCTTGTGGCGCATCAGCCTGTCGAGCCTTTAATGTGTCTGTTTTCTCGATAAACAAATGTACTGGGACATCCGGCTGATTGCTTTGCTCGGGATACTGAGCTGCTTTTGGAAGCCAGTGCCACGCTTCTTGGTCAAGTGCAGGTCTGCATCGACAGCGGAGACAAACTTAGCGCCGTCGGACTTCTGACGGGGAAGGTGTAAAAAGCGGTTTCTTGACATGTTTTCCTGTTCGAGTGCTGGACATGAATGCAGGTGCGCAGGTGGACAAGTGGCAGACAATTGAGGGTTTCGGGGCTAAACACACAGCATTAAGCTTGGACCTTTGCAGCGCTGTGATGATGAGGGTGGATGAGGAGGATTCTGTTGATTCTGTGGCTGATGAAGGCGGTGACGATGATGATGATGATGATGGTGCTGAGGGTCAGGATGACGAGGATGAGGAGGATGATGATGAGGAGAAGGAGGGTGATGATGAGTGTGATGGTGAGGAGGCACAGAGACGTCGACGGTTTCGTTGACAATTTTGCTCCGAGTCAACAAACCCTTGGAATGGAGAAGGGGCACGGCTCTACTAAGCATTTTACCAGCGAAGCAACAAGAGGGCTTGCGCGGGTCAGCCACCATCTTAGCCAAAATCGTATGAAGCGGGGGGGGGCTCTAGGCGACTGATGACGCTAGGGATGCAGGAGCGCTGCAGGAAAGACCTCCAGCAGATGACACCAGCAAGTTGCGCAAGCAAGTTGCGTTAGCAAGTAGCACTAGCGAGTTGCACTAGCAAAGCGCCACTAGCAAAATGGCGCAAGCCAGTAGCACGAGCAAGATAGCGCTAGCGAGATGCACAAGCCAGTAGCGCTAGCCAGTGGCACGAGCAAGCAGCACCAGCAAGTGGCACTAGCAAGTTGCAGTAGTGAGTTGGACTCGGAAGTTGCAGTGTGTTGCGGCAAGCGCTGCGCGCAGAGAGCTTGCTCAGACAACTTGTTCAGATAGACTTGCTCTGAGAACTTGCTCAGGTAATTTGTGCCAAGAACTTGCTTGGAGAACTTGCTCAAAGGAACTCGCGCCAACAACTTGCTCAGAGAAACTTGCGCAGAGAACTTGCTAGGATTACTCGGCGCCTCGCACTGCTCATGCTTTCGGGCCATATTCTAGTTTCCTCTTGGTAGCATCACTGTAGTTCGAGCACCCTTTCTTGTTGGCAGTGCTGTTGTAAACCTCGCCTCCTATCCTGTTGCCAGTATTTAGCACCTTCTCAGTTGGATAGCCATGTGGCCCGGCCAGTCTTTCGCTTCGCTAGCTGGTCCTGCGACGCTTTTTCCTCTTTGCAACCTATGTAATCCAGTCCCACTGACAAACGCATTTTGCTGAAGCATTTCGCACCTTTGTGATGCCAAGGTCGCGGCTTTGACATATCTCGTTGCCTCCTTGTGGGACGTCGCAAGGTGCCATTATCATTCTCTGAGGCGCTAGCTTCTTTACAGTCTCTGGACCCATGGAACACCAAAGGGGTTCAACGTGAGCTGAATTGCATGGCGCTTGTGCTAGCCTCCCGCAGTGAGTATTTTTGGAAACCCGAGCAATTCCATTTCATTCTCGCAATCAACGTTGTTTTCCGAGATCTCGACTTGAATTTGGCAGCTCTGGGCGAGACTCTGATTTACTTGCTCGCAGGATACGTGGCTTGTCGGGAAACCAAGCTGGAGGGATGTGCTGATAGCATCAAGACCATCGCTCACCGAAGCAACACGTGCTAAAGACATGGCCCATCCTTTGACGACACAGCTTCGCCTCCACTACGCCTTGAACATCGATTCCGACCCGTTCTCGCAAAAGGTTTCCGTGCTGCTGGACACTCTGCGTGCGTGGCGAACTCCCCAGCAACATTACGGAATGGCGGCTCTGGTGCTCAATGTGGTAATTGCAACACACGGTCATGGCCATGTTTCGACACATGTTCGGTGGCTGTAGAATCTAATAAGAGTTGCTAACGCCGCAGTCTGCAAGTTTATGCAAGTTCTCTCTTGCTTTGCTTGTGGCAAGATTTTTAGCCGAGCTCGAGAAGAAGATAGCAACCAGAAGTGGCATGTGCCCAGTCTCGGCCGCAAGCTGCTGATACTGATGCGCAAGTTTCAGCAGAGTAGCGAGACGGCCACCAAATGCTGCGGTGATGGAAAAGTGCATTGAGTGTCCGTACTACGGAAGTTCCTTCGAAACTTCCTTTGATGAATGCCAGGTGTTGGGTTGATTCACCCCGAATCCCTGGGGCCTTCACTCTCGAACATGGCATTGACATGGCGTTTTCCTCCTCGAAGTCGATGAACAACGTCGATGCTTTTACCCGGCGTCAAGGAGATGGATGGACCCGATGTGTCCTCTTCCAAAAGAAGGGGACTTCCTACAGGGACATACATAGACTGATTGTAACTATGTGTTGCTCACATAAGCTACTCAATTTCGCACCTTACATGAAGGAGACAAGCCTTTTTTGGGATACAGACCTGTCATGTTTTTTGCTGTTTGGGGTCAAGGCTGGTGTAATTAGTACTATTTATTATTGATTTATTATTAGTATTACTAGTATGTGTTGCTTATCATTATTATCATTATTTATTATTATTATGACTTTTATTAACTTTTAGTATTATTATTTATCATTACTACTATTATTACGGCCAGCCCCTGAGGTTTGCCTTCGCCCCGAACCAACGCCCCGACACAAAAGCCCTAAACCCAAACCCTAAAAGCTCTAAACCTCAACCCTAAACAATAGAAACCTAAACCCTAAAAACCACAAACCTAATCCCTAAAACCCTAAACCTAAATCCTAAAAACCCCCAGACCTGGCTGCTACCCACCCTCGTGGTACCACGGCCCCACGTTCTGAAGAGAACGCAGGTCACCACGTGTCAGGTATGGCTGCACGAGTTCTGCTACTTGACTAGTAAAGGGTGCCATACTTGGAACCACGTGCTGCAGGAAGTCGAGCATGGGCAGGACAAGGGTGGATTAGGGGGTACCGGCAAACCACGAAAGCTGTGGGCAGTATTGTTTATATTTTTGTTATTATTATTACTATTTGGAACTTCAATATGGTCTGATGTCTGGCCTTATTTCTGTACGGACGAGCCCGTACAGAAAGAAGACATACTGTAGTTTAAGGCCATAATATGGTCTTCTTTTCTGGCCTTGTTTCTGCGCGTGCGTGTGTGCGCGCGTGCGCGCGTGCTTCCGCGTGAGTGCGTGCGTGCGCCCGCGTGCGCGCGTGCGCTCGCGTGCGTGCGTGCGTGCGCGCTGCCCGTCCGTCTACTCGTCCACGGGTCCGTTCAGGTTTCCGTCCATGCGCCCACTTGTCCTTGCACTCGTTTGTCCACTCGCCCGTCCACTCGCCCGTCTACTCGTCCACTAGTCCGTCCACTTGCTCGTTGCTTCAAAAACACTCCGTGCGCACCTCGCATGTGTTTTTTTTGCATTGTGTGGTTACGAGTATTAAAAAAATAGCTAGTATAATATTTACACATGGCCACCCCGTTTGCCAGGGCCTACCTTCTTCTTGGAAAGTGTCATATCTATTCTCCACGTCTCTTTGGTCCACATGTCTGAACACACTTCAATATACAGTGGTCGTCTTGATTGTTTACCTTCCCTATGGTAGTATACGTTTTGTCTTTTGCGGGCTGAAAAGCAATAAGAGTTCTTGAGGCCTGTTTACAATGCTCGTTCCAAACTAGCCAATGGAAGGCCAAAAACATGTTTTGTCACTTTCCCTTGACAAGTGAAGCTGCACAGTGTGACTGCACAGGGGACTGTGCGTCTATCTGACTGCTCTTTGCAGGTGACACCGAGCTGGAAGATCCCAAGTCGCACCCTAGGCTCCAGGATGCCTCGGGGGTTGGGCCAAGCGCCTCGCTCCGAGGGCTTTTGGATTTCGACCTGCTTGATTTGGTTGCGCCCTAGAATTGGAATTGGTTGATAGGTGTTCATTGTTCCCCCAACGGCATCCGTGTAATTGGCCCTGAGTCCTGAATCTTCGGCTTGGATTCCCTTTGACTTGTTGTGGAGCAGACCTGTTTGTCCACTGACTAGACATTGCCGGGGCACTCCCCTTTTCCGTCGACTGTGTGTGGGTGTGTGTGACTCGTAAAGAGATCCAACTTGGCTCAGCGTGTGTATCGCAGCAAGTTGTTGCACTGTGTCGTGCTTGTGAGAACAGTTCAACCAGGAGATGTGCAGAGATGCATGTTCTACAAGTCGACAAGCTCAGTTGTTTAATTGTCGAGCGGGTTCTTAAGCCCAGGCGGACCACCCCCACTTGCCAGTATGTTGCCCTAGGTCTTGCATGATGCGTTCCCTCCTTCATAGTAAGTGGAGGCAGTCTGCGCTGTGACCGGCATCTACCACTTGCCATGATTTGCCACAGATCGTTTGTAGTTCGGATGTTGCCGGCCTTAGTTGTTCTCAGTAGGATTGTCAGTTACCCCGTGGGGCGGGAGCAGCGAGGGACTTGCCAGAGTGAGAGTTTGTTGTTTTATTTGAGGATCGCAACCCACGAGGGAGGTACTCCCAGAGTGTTTGAAGTAAGGACGTGGCGCATGAGGGAGGTTCCCCAACGTAAACACGGCCTGAGCAGCTGGCTTGGTTTGAGTCAGACTGAAACGGACCATTGCATATCATTGCCCCTGCCCACAGCAGTGGCGATTCCTTGCCTCAGCGGCTCACCTTTCGAGTCAGTCTCACTTTGCAACAGGAGCAAAGCACTTATTCGTATTGTTGTAGACATGAACCCTTATATCAAAGAGGGAGTGGAGTTGCAACCAGCGTGAGGGACACTGTTAAAATGTTTACGTAGTAAATCAACCATGGCTCATTGAATGTTCCACCTTCAGGCCAGAATGCAGTTCTGAGAGCGATGAGTGCCTCTTCCAGTGAGACTACAAAATCATCCAATGCACATGGTGAAGGAGTAGTTCAGCTTCGGGGCCATCGCAACCTCTTCTCACAGAAGTGTTCATGAATTCTGTCTATAAGCCGCAAAGCAAATAGCCGCACCAGAGCCAAAACCGCAGGAGCTGTTCCTTTCCTTTGTGGAGAAGCTGGACGATGAGCTGTACAAGGCACTTCAGTTCAACAGCACCTCGAAGATGCACTCAGGGAAGAGGGGGCGCTTGGGTTTCAAGGGTTCATTCGGGTGGGGCTTTTTGACGGAACCCTTTTTAGAGCGTCTTAAAGGGAAACTGAGAGAAAACAAGTCAGTTGCGGCTCCCTTATTTTGAAAACAATTTGTTGTTTGACCCCAGAACTCCAAGTAGAAGGTGCCTGATGCCCAAACAAGCCCTCGCAGTTTGTGGCATTGTATCCCTGTTGCAGACTGGTTTCGACCGTTCGGATTTTGCTTGCCATGCTTGCAAGTGGATTTCTATTTGGCGCCATGATGGATTTGGCCGTTTCCGAAAACCGGGGCCGCAAAACGTGCTTGGCTTGCGTTTGGTTTGTCTTTGAAACAACTGATACCAACAAAGGACGAAACCATCTGAGCAAAGCCAATCCATCAAATTTGCTGCAGTGGGTTCTTGGGGCCGAGCTGCAGGCTTAAAACAGAAATCAAAGCCAAATTGAAATACGGAAATGGACCCTCGTTTGGTATCCTCGTGTGCTGTTGTTCTTGGGGTGCCCTACTGTCTAGTCTTTTTGGGCAAGTTCAGGCTTGTTGGGCAGATCTTGCGTAAGTCCCATTTGAGTGGGCGTTCCAGGCAAAGTAAAACGCGGCCAAGTCTGCAGCGGTTCCTTTGAAGGCGTGAAATGCCATGCCCAATTTCTGGATACCTTGCCCGCCTGCCACCAGTTTCGGTTCCAGCTGAGGTGACGTGTACGCCTCAGAGTACGGCGAGATTTTGGGTAACTCCTCTAAGCGACTCGGCTCCAGATTGTTAATCTTGGGCCCTTTGAGAGGCAAACTTTGGAGGAACGCCCATCCTTAGAAAAGCTGGGATAAGGACAGGAGCGACTCTTGATTTGCCTCGCCTTCTACAAAGGGACGCCCCCAATAGAAGCCTTGAAGATGCTTGAACATGCTATCCTGGCCGGGCTGAAAGAGGATCACTTGGGTGTCACTTGGCTTTTAGTTGGGTCTTTCTGACTAAATGCGTGTCCCCCAAACAGCAACAAGTGTTGAGTGTTTGGCGGGGAAGACCCGCCCAGGCGGGGGCTGATATCGCTATGTCCAAATGATCCCTTCTGGTTTCAGGAGAGGCGGCAAATCTTTGAAAAAGAACGTTAAATATGAATTAGGCGCCGGTGGAGCAAATTGCAGCATGTTTGGGTGCCTCACCCCACCAGCCGTTTGAACTTGTGATGTTTGCAAGTGGTTCGCTTGTGTTAGCAGGTTCGCAAATAATATGGTTTTTCCAATGGTGTTCCAGTCACTCCCTGGGAATTGTTGTCTTTTCCAGCGTACTCAACAGTTGGCAGCGCGTGGATTATACAGTGCTATTATTATCATTATTATTATTATTATTATTATTATTATTATTGTGTTGGTGCTTCGGTGGTACGTGCGAACTTGTTGGATTGGTTCTGGACAAGGATGGGATTTTCTTTTTGCAACGGTGGGCACGTCTTTGGCCATGCAACATGTGTGTTGCACCGTATTTCGCATGAGCTTCACAGTGTGAGGGTGGATAGGTGGGTGCCACTTAGCATAAACCCGTGTGCCACCTGGGAAATCCTGGGCCCCTAAAAGATCCAAAGCAAAGGGCTCCCTTTACTTTCCGGGAAACGGGCCGAAAAAGGGCAACAACGGTGGCAGCGGCGCTTTCAGGTGCCTGGTCTTGCTGAACCGCACGCTGCGGTATTTCGAGGAGGCACCTTGGCATGCCTGGACTTATCCTGTTTCATCTGGTTCCATTGAAATTGGACAGCCCCCCGGATCGCAGTTACAACTATAGGCAACCAGCAATTTGCTTTAAAGAGTGAAAGGGCAGTTCCCTTATGTACCTACTACCCTCGGATAATTGTTGGATGTCCCTGTCGAGAAGAATTCTGCCCTGCTGCGGTTGGTTGGCCATCCGAAGAGCATGACATGCTGGCCTTGCTTAGCCAGCAGGCGGCAACTTGGATCTGACGGGAGGTGGCTTCCTGTTAAGAAATGGAGGGCTATGTTTTTGGGGTGTTACTGGTGATGCTGAGGATTCGGAACCAAAAGCCAAAAGCGAAAAGCCAAAAAGGGCCAGACTCCAAGAAGCCAAAGGCCAAAAAGCCAAAAAGCCAAGAAGCTAAGACGCCAGATAAGGTCAGCATCAGCTTTTGGCTTTTTGGATTTTTGGATTCTTGGTTGGTGCCTTCTTACCTCCCAGGTTTCTGTAGATGGGGGGGCTGCGCCCCTCCTAACTCCCATAGGGCTGTCGTTTGGCTTTGTGATGACCTCAAAAGGCAAGCCAAAAATTCCTGAACGAACCCCGATGAATCCAACGTCCACCCCAAACCCACCAAAACCACCCTAAACCAACCCTAAACCACCACTAGACCCACCCTAAACCGCCACTTAAAACTAGAACCGCCAACCCTAAAGAAACCTTAAAGAAACCTTAAACCAGCAAGACTCCCCAAAGAAACTTCTAAGCAAACCCACTCTAAACCATAAATAGACTATCCCGAAACCAACTCTAAGCCTACCCAACCACCCTAAGCCAATCCTCAAACCCACCATAACCCCACCCGAAACCAACCCTAAGTCCGCACTAAACAAGCGTTACACCACCCCCGCTAAGCAAACCCCATACCAACCCTAAACCCCCGACTAAACCGCCTCCTACCCCCCCAGTAAACCATCCCTAAGCCACCTTGAACCTACCCCAAACCACCCTAAGCCCACCTAAACACAACCACAGCCTAAACCAACTCTAAACCCAAACCAACCCCAAGAAGCCCACCATAAACCAGCACTCAGTACCTAAAGCGCACCCACCCCCAAACTTTCCCTAAACAAGCCTGGAACCCACCCTGTACCAACCCTAGCCAACCTTGAACCCACCCTAAACCCTTGAAACGATGCCGGGGATGTTGGCAGGGCGGGTGCAAAACGAGTCAAACCAGGAAGAACCCAGGGAGGCACCTGCCAGTTCCAAGACAGAAGATCCAGGAACAAATTCCCAAAAAAAAGGAACCATTCCCACAACAAATCCAGACCCTTCGGGAGTGGCGGCCCTCCGTGCATGGTGTTGTTGTTTTTTGTAGACAAACCACAGATTTCCTGTGTTTTGACACTTTTAGGTCTTTTTTTTTTGTGTGTGTGTGTGTGTGTGTGCGTGTGTGCGAGGCCTGGAGACATTTTCGTCGTGCAAATGTGAGCATGAAGCCACGAGCGACAAAAGTTTGCGGAACCGCCTTGATTTGCTGCATCTACAAATGCCCAATTTAGATTAGAGCGTGGAGAATGCACCCCATCAATGAACGGTGGCAGCCCTTCTGCGTGGCAGATCTTTACTTCCCTATGAAGAACTCCGCCTGCGACAAATCTTTGGTTTCTTGAGGCCCAGAGGTTTTGGACGCTGGGTACTTGAGCTTTGCCCGGCCCCGGCACAGTCCAAAGACCCGGGCTTCGGAATGATTCGGAGGTGTTCTTTGCCACCCCCGGTTGTATCAACCTTTTGTGGTGAAATAGGATGTGAACCATGGGTTGTATCTATCTACTCTTCTGCCGCACAAAAGGAGGTCAACTACTGATGACACGGGCCCTCACATACCAGATTCCCAACAAAGACTGGAGCGTGCTATGTGATGGAACCCCTCGCATTTTACTGAGTTTTTCTTTTCTCAGGTAGGAATATGGGAATGACCGCCTTGTCGTCCCGCAATTGCCGCAGTCGGTTTCCTCGTCATTTGTCTTTAAAGCCATCCAAAAGCTTTTGTTTGGTCAAAGAATGCCAAACACTGTGTCACAAGGCCACCCAAAGCCCCCTGACTGAGGTGAAGGAGACCAAGCACCTGGGGAGCATCGCCGCCAGACTCATGGAGCAGCTCTACTACAAGCCGGACAGCTTGATGCCCGGCACAAACAGCGGTGTGTCTCGTAAGAGTGGTCACTTAAAGGCTGGAACAGTTGGTTTTCTCTTAGTTTCCCTTCAACCAAACAAAAGGGGTCCAACATATTGCAAAGCTGTTGCTGTTGATGATGATCTTGTTGTTGAGGGAGATGGAGATGGAGATGGAGATGGAGATGATGATGATGATGATGATGATGATGATGATGATGATGATGATGATGATGATGATGATGATGATGATGATGATGATGATGCTGATGCTGATGCTGATGCTGGTGATGCTGATGATGATGATGATGATGATGGTGATGATGTCATGGCTTGGGCCAACTTTAGGTGAGTTTCTTTTGGGTGTGATACTTAAAGGGCACATGGGGGCAGCCCTGGGTCTCGCAGGATGTTTGTTTTGGCCTGACGAGTTTGTTGTCTGTGTTGTTCTTTCTTTCTTCTTTTTTTTGGGGGCGTGGCTTGGGCGGAGCCTTTTTCTTGTGTTCTACTGGCTTTGACGGGGTTTTTCAAGCCCTTGGCAAGGGTCATGTTAATGTTTCATTGTTCTAAGTTTGGCCAGGCTGAGGCTCGCCGACCAACGCATGCCGGCTCTGACGAAACTAGTCCTTGAAAGGTTGGTTTAGAAGGAACCCAAAGGAAAACCAAGAGTTTAGGGGTCCCCCTATTTCAACACATATCCATGTGCTCCATTTGCTCCATTCCAGCTTTACGAGTGTCTTTCGTGTGAGTTCGCTCCGAGGAACGCAAGGGTCTACGAGGCGATCCCTCACACCATGCCAGAGGAGTCCAAAGAGCATTGGGTTTGGCCCAAGGACTCCAAGGCCTACATGGGCAAGCTCTGCCATTACGCCCCTCGTCTCGTCTCGATCGTCAGTTCATCACTTCAACAGGTGGCCCTGGAAGGCCCTTGGTCTCTTTCACAAGAAAATGCGGGCCATGCTTCGACGATCTTTTTTTTGCTAAGATGCATGGTTCGGCCGATAAGCCCACTAAGTATGCCAAGCTTGTCACAGAAAAGGCGGCAAAAGGATCGCTAATAATCCCGCGCTTGCAGATCCGGGGGGTAAAAACAGCAATGCCCCACATGATGAAGGTACTTCACTTACGCATATGTTCTTAATTCAAATCGGAGAAGTGTAACAATGACTGCAGATTTCTATGAGATGTTTCAACCGACATACGCGGCTAGTTGGACCGCTTTGCAGGGTTGCTTGACGTTAAAGTTGGACAGGACGTATGGTGTTTGGTGTTTGGTGTTTGTTCCCCACCCGACAGGAAGGGGTTGTTAGATATTATGTTGGAATCCGCGTTTGCGATGCTTCTACACCACGCCCCCACCCAGCATCCTGCCAGAGCAGCCAGAGCAGCTCGCCAGCGGATCTCGCCGAGTATCCCGCCAGAGCAGCTCGCCAGTGGATCCCGCCGAGTATCCCGCCAGAGCTGCTCGTCAGTGGATCCCGCCCAGTATCCCGCCAGAGCTGCCCCGCCGAGTATCCCGCTGAGTATCCCAGAGTAGCTCGCCAGTGGATCCCGCCGAGTATCCCGCCAGCCAGTGGATCCCGCCGAGTCGCCCACCAGCGCCCGCCGGTGGATCCCGCCGAGTCTCCCGCTGAGTATCCCAGAGTAGCTCGCCAGTGCCCGCTGAGTATCCTAGCAGAGTAGCTCGCCAGTGGATCCCGCATTGAGCGTCCTGCTGAGAGTCCCAGAGCAGTGGATCCCGCCGAGTATCCCGCTGAGTATCCCTTGCCCGTGGATCCTGGCGAGTGTCCGGCCAGTATCGAGCCGGAGCGGCTCGCCAGCATTCGCCAGTGGATCCGCACGGCGCAGGGTTTACATTTTGTGTTGGTGCCTTCGTGTCTTTAGTGCACCCTGAGGCTCGGAAAGGATGATGCTTTTGTGTTGCTTTGGGTTGTGAACAAGCAACTTCGTTTAATCCCCCGTCGGGCTTCTTTTTGGAAGGGGCTTGGCTTTTATTAACGGAACCGATGTCTGGTTCTCGAGATTGGAGTTTGACACATAGACAGGTGGATAAGGCTCTCAACGCAAAGCTTGTTGAGCTAGCCGACGGGAATCTGGAGTCGAAGTCTCTAGGATGCGGAGGAATTTGTTGTAACGGTCGTAAGCTCTTCAGTGTGCAGGGTGGGGATTGCTCGAAGCGAAGTATTTTGTTTGGTGTTAAGTCATCACAAGAAGCAATTGGTGAGACGCGCTCATTCAGCCGCTTCTCGTGCATTTGGGACCCAAGCAGCTTCGCTTCGGAAGGTCTCACCCGACTCCAGATGTAGGTTTGTACGTATGTGTTGAAGGTATTTTGTGGTTGGTGTGGTTTGAACCGAAACCAAAAGGACAGCCACCACTTTGGGGGGGGTCCCCCTATTTTGACACACCTATGTGCTTGACTCAGCTGTGCTTTGAGGTCTGGAACGCCGGAGACACGCGTTTGCGACACCGTGCTTGTCTCTGCCAAGCCTATCACCTGGCACTGCACGACTGCTTCCAGCGCCTTGCTCCAGTCGATGTGGGGTTTGTCTCCGTTTTTGGAGGGCACCCTGTTTGGCGTTGGTTCAAAGCATGTTTTAGGACACCGGAAGTTTTGGGGCCCCATTCGGCTGGTAGCTTTCCCTTCTTTTCGGTTTCCCTTCGACCTGGCGGGGGTTTTCAGTGCTCTCTGGCTGAGCAAGATTAAAAGCAAGCTGGAAGACTTCTCGGGAGCGGAGCAATCTGGGGGGAAGCAAAAACGCCACCATCATGACGGTAGCAATCTTGGTTGCCCTGCCAATTGCGTGCAAACCTTGGCCTACCAACGTTTCTCGAAAAAGTAGACCTACAACAGGGATTCGATCTGTCTTGGCGTGACGCCGTGCGAAGAAGCCTAAGCCTTGCTGGCATAGAGGGAAGGCTTTGGCTTGTAGCGGACGCGGCTCTGGAAACGGATTCCTTCAGAGTGCGTCTGGGACCTCTGGTAGGGGATTTGGTGGAGCTTCGAGACTTCGGCCTTGGGCAGGGCTTTTGTACTTCGGCGCGTCTTTTTAACTGCTTGGTTCGGGGCCTCACTGACCAGGTGAAACAGAGTAATTACGGTGGGAGTTGGCCTAGACATGCCGCGTCCGGCCTGCAGAATGTTCTGCTCAACTCCGGCCTCTTCCTTTCTATCGAATCAACTGCATTTTTGG